GAGGGGGGTACGGGTTATTTGGGGGAGGGGGGGGCTAAAGGGGTCCAGGGGGGGGGAAAAAAATGGGGCGTTTACCACCCAAAAAAGGGGGCCTGGTGGGGGTGGGTGTTTGGGAGGGGGGGGCCCTAAAACCTTTTTTTCCTTGGGGGGGGGGGCCTTAATGTTCCCCCATTCTTTTTTCCCCCATGTTTTTTGGGCCCCCCCCCCCCCCCCCCCCCCGGCTTTTGTTTTTTGGTCATTGTCCCGGTTCACTTCCTGTTGTTCATCCTTAGGCCTTTATGGGTTGCGGTAAAATTGTTGTTTGGTTTTTGTGGGCCCCTTTGTGGTTCCCCCCCCCCCCCCCACGCTGTCCGCGCCCGCCAGGTGCTTTACGTCGAAACATGCTTCCCTCCGTACATACATACAGCAAGACCGGCATTGTTTGAACGGAACCTGGACTTACTCACTTTTATCCTAGATCCACCACATGAGGCACTACTGTTTATTTCACGCAAAGACCTGCCTCTTGTTTGTTTTTTTCGCAGATGTACCACCAACTCTCCAAGAGGGCTCTGGCGCTCGAAATACTGCTGCCGCTGGTGCAGGACGTGGCGGAGATGCACGGGGGCCAGGTGAACAGCCTTGAGAGGAATACGGCGGTGCCGGAGATGGGAGAAGAGGACCACGCCCTCCTGGACCAACTCGAGAGGCGGAGGGCGCTCGTGAAGCGGAGCATCAGCGACATGACCTCCCCTAGCTTCGGCTCCATATTCAGGTTGTCTCATTTGTTTTTTTGTGTAATAAGAGTATCGACTAATATTTGTAGGCGTGGTACGTTTGTCAGGCAGTCTTGTCTAGAAGGCGTTGTGTTGACATTTTGATTATGTTGCTAGAAGATGGTGGGGTTCCACGCGGCAAGGCACGTCTTGGATGGTTAAGGCAGGACATGCACGTCGTATGTCCATGTAAGGAACTTGTGATTTTGGTCTGCGTGTGCGCACAATTGGTTGCTTGTGCTTGCTAGTTCAATGGGAGGGATGGTTTCGCGAGCGTAAGAAACACCCGGTTTTTTTTTCCGTCACCCCAACACGAGGGCTGTTTTCGCGGCACCTCACACTCACCCCCAACTCCCGCGTAGCTTGCTTCGAAACCTCATCTGGTGTTTGCTCATGGTTGAAACCTCTCGCCGTATTTTGAGTGATGATTGTGTTGTTGGTGTCGTTGTCGTTGGTGGTTGTCCAGGACGAGCGAGGAGCCGACGTTGTTCGCGTTCAGCCTGTGGAGACACGTGGACCTGTACACGGCCTCCGTGTGCAACATCATCAACTTTGGTGTCACGCACCGCTTCTACCCCACCAAGGTACAGTACTGCTTTTGTGCCTGCTCGCTCTTCTCCCCCCCCCCTCTCTCTCTTTCTTTCTCCCTCTCTCTCCTCTCTCCCTCTCTCTCCTCTCTCCCTCTTCCTCTCTCTCTCTCCCTCCTTCGCTCCCTCTCTCCCTCCGGACGCCTGCTCGTCCCCCCAAACGTGCCGTCTATCAAGCTATATACTCGTTTCTAACGCCATGTGTTTTGTTCCCGTCCTCCGGGTCCCGCTGTATCGTATCACCGTGACCGTCCCGTCCCGCATTCGATGGTCTCGCCGTTTCGCGGTACTGTGGTAATTTTACGATGCAGACGCTTTCCGTGGCACACGAGCCGAGGGTGGACCACGGGGAAATATACCGAGCCATCAATCTCGACTCTGACGACCGAGCCAACAGGGAGCACGACGATCACGACGGCAGGAGAACCGCTACATAGATGAACAGCAGCTCCATCCGTCAGAAGGTCGATGATAAGTGTCTCCGAGCAGCCTGACAGATTACGGCGGAAGCTTGATGGAGCAGGAGCTCAATCGGATCTGAGGTCTGATTCAAGGACTGCTGTTGTTGTTGGTTGGCTTAATTTTTCAGCTCCGGCAGCAGAGGTCTAAGATCGGTCGGGGGCCTCTTTTTGGTCACCTCACGATCATCTCGCTCGTTGTTTCAAGACCCGTAGAAAGGGCTATCGCTTCTTTTTTTTTTTGTTCTCGGTACGTTTTTTGTATTCCTTGTTGAATGTTTTTAAGGGTGTCCGTGTTTGGCGGCGTAGGCATTTCTATTTCTTCTTACCTCACGGGCAAGAGGAAAATATTCTTCCTGGAGACGAAATCAGGAGCGGGGGGAGGGACTTATTATGGAAAGGGGCAAAGTGTTTAATTGTGAGCGAGGTTTGGTTTGCTCTTGGGCACGAATGGGCTATGTTGGGCTGGGGCGTTTCCTCATACCGAAGGCAGGCACCAAGAGCGTGCTTGCTATTCATGAAACGCTTATTCCTTAACTTGGACGCTTGGGCGGCGCTCCTATCCCTGGCAGCGGCTGACCGTCTGGCTACCCGGCTCGTTGTGACGGGTATGTACGCATGTGGCTCGGGAAGCCCAGGCCGCAGACAGAGGGCCCACACTGCAGTCAGCCCAGGCAGGACAAGGCCGGTGATACTCGTAACCAGTAGTTAGTTGTGTTTTGTTCGAGAAGCAAAGCGATGGGTGCCGGTGATCCCTCGTGCTGCCAAGTGTACTGGCTGCCAGAGAGATGTTGCCGTCACCGTTCTTGTACATTTTTTGCCGTGTTATTGGAAAACGTCTCTTGTTAGCCCCCCCCCCCCCCCCCGGGTATTTTAAATTTTAGTCCCTTTTCTTGCGAAAAGGTGATGAAACACTGCTGTATAAGAATCGAGGAACCGTCGTTTGCCGTGATTTTCCGTGGATGTGTGTTATGTTTTTGGGGGTTGTTTTTTTTTTGGTTGCTCTCCTTTAGGATGCCCAGCAATCCAACGAAGGGCGGAGGTTGTTCGTTTTTTGGGGGGGGCCCGCGCGACGGTTTTTTTGTGCCCCCGGGCATTGCTGGAAGGCAAGGTTTGGACGTTTTTTGGGTAGATTATAACAGTGGGGGTCACGCCCGCCACGGCGGAGGACCACTTGGGATAGGGCGGGCTAGCCCCCCCCGGGCCCCCCCCCCCCCCCCCGCTGGCGGCTTGTCAACTAGAAACATCTTGTCTCTCTTCCTGGTGCTCCAGTGTAAGGCTGCACTCGGCCGCTTTGTATCATACCCCTTATAAAGTTGCTCTGTATTACCATTCGTCTCGTATTCCCGGGGCATGGCCGACACGCTGGGCACTGGAGGAGCACAGACGGATCAGCTTTTGTTTTGATCTTTTTTCGCTCAGGTTCAGCGGCCTTCATCGATAACTTTACTCTTTAGTAGGGATGAGGAATGGTAGGAAAGGCTCTGGGGGTGCGCAGAGGTGGGCGTTTGCTCAATGTCCCAGCTGTGTGGCCCCCCTGGTGTGTGGTTGCTGGTTGGTGGTGCCGTGTATAAACATGTATGAGATGGAGTGGCGTCACACAGCACATGTGAAAATGTTTGTCTGTGGTTTGTCATCGGGTGTCGAGAGAGAGAGGGGGGGGGAAGGGAGAGTAGGGAGTAGACGTGAACAACGTTAACAACTGCCTGGTCTGGCCGTCTCTCGCTCCACTTGCTCTGCTGATGGAATAAATGGGCTGGTAGTCAACGTTTCGTTGCGGACCCGGCGAACTCGCCTGCCTGTGGTGAAAACGAACGACTGGTCCACACGGTACGACGGGGCTGCTGTTGCCCCGAGCACGAGCTGTCGTGTGCACATGATCAGCCCTGGTTTACGTAGGTGTGGGATAGTGAACTTCTCCTGAACTTCTCCTGGGTGGGGTAATGAACGTCTCGTGGCCAAGTTACGCGTCTGAGACTGCAGGTCTTCTTGCCGTCAATTGTATGTCGCAGGAGCGTAGTGTTTCCAAACGTGCCTCTATCGGTGCGTTTGAAGTTACGTTTCGTTGGCGATAAAGGACGGTGAGGCATGAAAACAGCGCCCAAGGGACGATTCGAACGCGCGCGACCCTTCTAAATCAAAACCCGTTCTGTTGAAGGAGCCCCTCAAGCCTACGCACAGGGGCGACCGTACGGTGTACGTGCATCATAAGACGATACCAGAAATAATGCAGTGCAACGAACGTAGTTACGGTTCGAGAGTTGGTCCGCGCTCCGTCAACATGCGCCCACGTCATCCGGGCCTTTTATAGCACCTGTTTACTATGGTTGTTTCTCCCGTGGGTATTGTTTCGCCGCGAAATCTTGGCCGGGCCCGAGGGAAGCAAGCGTGCCGGCACCTTTGGTCAACGCCGAAAGGTGTACAACAACGTCTTGAAACCGCTGCACACTCGCGAGTGGCAAGTCACGGCAAACCGGAGACCCCCAACAGGGCATGTAGGGGGTCACGGGATTGGTAAGAGTGCCAAATAACATAATGGGAGTACTTCATTGCATCCCGTTTTTTTTGTCATTGGCGGTGCATTCGAGGCGCTACAGCTTGAACGCGTCGAAACCACGCTTGAGGTTATGGATTGCACAAGACATCCGCCGTACGGAAAAAATGCCGCAACAAAACAAGCTGCTTCTATCGCACGGCAGTCGTACTGCTCCCCCCCGCCAACTCTTGTTCGCCGTTCTTTTTTCGGCGATGATTGCTGTGGGCATCATTCACATCATCGTTATCCTTGGCCAGGACCCTTCTGAAGAACACAGGGGCCGCGATGGAGCTCAATAGCAGTGCCCAAACCACCGCCGAGTAGTCCCCGGTCGTCAAGATCCCCTCGTCGCTCGCCTCCTGGGCAATGAAGAACGAAAACTCCCCCCTGGTTTGTATTTGTCGTCCAGAAAACGGGGGGGAAACAGAAGCAGGCCGAGAGATGCACAGAAAAAGAAATAAAAAGCGAGGACCGTTTGGGTGCTGGGTGCGTTGCCGGGAGCATGCTTGTGTGCATTGATTGGGGGATGAGAAAGGTACGGGCTTGATGTCTTCCAAACAAGTACAGTCGCTCTGTTGTTGTTGTTGTTGTTGTTGTTGTTGTTGGCATTGCTGCTGCTGCTGCTGCTCGCGTGGTTACCCTATATTTATTCTGCTCTACCCCTACCGATATCCCCATAGCTGACCTTACGCATCTAACGAGAGAGAGGGAGAGAGGAGCAGAGAGACAGACAAACAGAGAGCGGCAGAGATAAGAAAAGAGACAAAGACAGAGCAGCCGTAAATTTTCGTGGTAGGCGAAGCATCATATGCACAACACAAAACTCAGGGCCGCGGACTGGAACGCACGCACGCACCTCCCGTTCATAGCCCAGCCCAGCTTCAGGAACCCAGAGAGTGTTAACGGGGGTCCCGCGTAGAAGCCCACGACGACCTTTCCGACAATCGCGGCCACCGTAAGGATAAGACCCTTCCAGAACGGTTTGACTCTGAGAAGGCCGCCGTCTTTGTAGACGGACGGCACGCTGAACGCGACCGTCGCAGAGAAGAAGAGCCTTGCCCCCCACTGAGAGTACCGCTTCATCTGCGTTGCATTGAAATTTTGCAAGGGTTGGGTGGGTGGGAGGCGTCATTGTCAACACAGAAAAGGGAACAAGGGGGGCAAGATAAGGGAGGGAATGGCCGAAGGCGCTTGAGTCTTGGGTGTGACGAGTGTATTGACACGACGAAACAAAACACGCCGTGGCGTCGTAGGCCAGACTGTGAGCGGGAGGGGGTGGCCTGCGAAATGCGCCAAACCGCGGGAACACCCACGGTCGGTAGGCGCCAAACACTCGGGCACGCCGAGGAGCATTGAACTCACGAGCGGGCGAAACCAGCAGAATCGGCAGATTCCCGACCGGGAGCAGGACACCCCTCCCTCCCCTCTCCGCCCCGACGTTCATCGCACAGCAGAACCGTAGATGAAGGTCCCGTCCTACACAATGTACAGACATCCGAGAGTCACAAACGAGCCCACAAAACGTGTTTCTCAAGACATGCTCGGCCTGTTACCTGCCGTGCCCAAATCGTCTGGACGCCGGGCACGCCTGAAAATGCCAAGCCGCCCAGGAAGCACCCTAGGAGGTCCGAACTGCCCACCAGGGACGACAGATAGGCAAACACCAGAGAAAACGCCAAGACCATCGTGAGCAGGGCTCGATCTCCTCTCCTCACGGAACTCGCATCGCCTTGTCGGCCAGCATCACCACCGTACAGCGTGGGTGACACCGCAACGGCGGCGGGAGTGCTAAACACACCCGGTTCTAGCGGTACCGTCGTCGTGTCCACCAGTGTTTGGCCCCGGTCGACAGCGGCGGCCGGTTCATCGACAACCGGAGGAGAGCGATAGACAGAAGGCGAGAGGTCCTGTTCTCCTTGTCGCGCCGTCCCCGTCGCTACCTCCGCTCGGCGTGCTGGGGACGACGAAAGGCGCCCGTTATCGTTGCTGCTGCTTTTTTTGTTGAGGGAGGAAAGCCACGCGCCGAGCGGCTCGGTTTTAGAACTGATGTAGACCGCCGCGAGGCCGCCGATCAAGACTGACCCCACCGAGGCCAACACCGGCACGGCGTAGTCGTGCCACTGAAGACCGGGATTGTTGCGGACGGAGATGGGGGGCGAGAACGGGGGGGGGGAGAGGCGGGCGGGAGGGGGAAAGCGGGCGTTTTTTGGGGAGGTGGAGGGACAACGTCATCCCAAATCCACTACACAAAATCTTTCCTGCACCACCTGCGATTTTTACGCAAAATTACACCCGCACCTGACCGGACGTGATAACATACCGGGGGAGTTACACGTGTGCTGCCCTTACCTTGGGGTTCTCGTCGGCAAGTGCTTGCACCTCAGCGAGGAGGAGCAGAGACAGCACGTCGTCGATCACGGCCGCCGTGCAGATCAGCTGACCTATCGGTGTCGTGAGCTGCCCGACCTCGCCAAGAAGCTGGGCGCTGAACCCTAGGCTGGTGGGGGAGAGCGCAGCTCCCACGGCTAAGGCCGCCTGGCATTGTTGGACGAAAGAGATGAGCATTTCACGGCGGGGGGGGTGGGTACCACAAGAAAAACAGCGCATGGAACGTACCGTAGCAGGCGGTCTTTTATTGGCACTCAAACGCTGGTTCTAGACTACCGCTTGCGATCAAACATGCGTCTCAAAAAAACGACCGGCGTTGTGCCGGCGCAATTCTATGAGTTATTACAAGCCTGGACAAAAACGCCGATTGTTCCACGAGCTGTATACTGCCAAGTGTATGACTGTCGTTAGACCAGTTCTCTAGCTCCAACAACGCTGACACACGAAGAGAAGCGTACGGCGATGAGGCAGAAAAACACCTTCCAGCCCGCCCCGAGAACCCCTGAATACAGCGCGAAGCTAAGCACAGTCGGTAGCAGTACGCCAGTTGCCGCTGCCAGCGAAGCCCTCGCCCCAAATCGGCGAATATCTTGAATATCCACGGCTAGCCTGTTATAGAGTAATACGCCATGCACTGTTCGTCAAGAACCACTCATTGGAAGTTTGGTTCTCGCTCGTGCTCGTTGCTGTGTGCAGCATGCAGCAGAATGCCTGTGCAATCTGCTGACATCGGAGATCTCACGCAACTTCGGCGTTCCCGCTAGAGGGGGGCTGATGAACACGTGACAGACACAACAGCGTAGAAGCCATCGAGCGGAACCCCCACTTTAGGCACAGCAGTATGTAACAACAACGCAAAAAGTGGAGTGGACTACACTACAAGCTCCACGCTCGATTCTCCATGGGAGCATCGACAGATGGACATGAAGCACACCTTGGTTCTCACCCCGATTCGACCACCAGAATCATCACGCCTAGCTTTCCCAACAGTTTGAACGCCTCCACATGCGGTATGAGATCCAAGAGAGCTGGGCCCACCACCAGCCCCCCGGCTATCTGACCGATGATAGGCGAGACGTTGATGCGGGTGCAGGCCACCTCCATCAGCCATACGACGCACAGAAGGAGCACCACTCGGAGCTCATTTTCAATCGCCATTGATCAATCGCTGCAGCCCCTGGTCGTACCAACGGATGTCAGTGATTTCACTTAACGCAGCGCAACGAAGCCACCGTCGTGTTGGCTGTTGGCTGCTTTCAGGGAGGGATCGGGGATCGGGGCAACGCGGACGCGGCACAACTAGACAAAAACGGTTCCAATTGGTTCACAAAACGGTTCCAAACGGTATGATCGCGCCGCTGTTATGTCTGCGCGGCCGCGAAGCTTTGGGCGTCGGGCGTCGGGCCTCGAGACAAACCCGCCAGAGGGCAAGAGGGCAGAGATCCTCTCCCTCTAAAATAAAATGGGAGGCAGTCGGGGTGGGTCGGTTGGCTCCTACTCCAGTGGGAGCGCCGATCATGTGGACGTTGTCGGGAAATATGGCGCAAATGACACCAAGGGGAAAATCGCGCTGGTAGGTAGACTATGCATATGCAAATCTATCGATCGGCATGTATTCAGAGCTTGTTATTGCTGCTTTCAACAGCACACACACACACCAGGTGCTGACGTCCTTAGAGTACTGAGTGGAACCTAGTTCAGTAGAGGAGATTGTGGCCGCAAACTCCTTTGAGAGAGTTGATGGCTTTCGTCATTCGCCTGTACAGCAGTGTTGAAGCGGACAGGTCTGGTGACCGTATACGAAACTGGTATGCTACATCAAAGGACATGAGTAATCCTGATCGTGTGTTCAAGTCGAATAACTTGATCGGAGCTACATACCTCCTCAATCCCTGTGGCATAGTGTGCAACGGCTCTCCCCTTCAACTGGCACAGCGTATTTTATACATCGCTCATCCCAGTACAGCAGAAACGTGCAATAACAGATGTAGCCATTCGCCACGGACACCTACGCGTACGACCATGATTTGCATATCCTACGAATGCAGGCAGAGCGCATTTCTTTTGACACCATGTACATACCCCCGATATGTCTATTGCCCCTGGACATCTGCGGCCGGTTCTATAACAAAGATGGAGAAAGACATCGCCAGGGCGGACAAGACCGCCAAGAAAGACCTGAAAAGTCTCGCGAAAACGTCGGCCGCCAACAAGGCCGAGGAGATTGCTAGCGTCAACGCCGATTCAGGCAACGACGGCGGGGGCAGCAGCAACTTGGGCTCTCAGAATGGCGGCGAGGGCGCAGACGAGGAAAATGATCAACGGGGGGGCGTGAAGAACATCATGGCTGAACTCACGAAGAAAACGCCGGAAGAGGTGTTTGCGCAGTTCGACACGGACGGAAGTGGACTAATCGACTTCGACGAGTTCCGGACCATGCTACCGCAGCTCGGCATTAGTATAACCATGCCAAAGGTACAGCCAATACAGGTCGCTTCAAGTCCATAATAGCGAGTGAAAAGGATAGCCATAATCCATTATGCAAGACAACTTGTTGTGTGTACGAAAGCTATCTCGGCCTCGAAACATCCTGCCGGTAGAAGTGTGGTGCAAGCATGTGAATACGAAGTGCACTCACGAACGATGCCATCAGTATGGTGGAGCTGTATCTGCCGCACGCTCTGTGTTCTATGGCATTTGTTGTTCAATCTGAGGGCTCTTTTCGTCGTGACTTACCACATCATTGCTTTCATGCGCATAGTCCTTTGGGAAGAGTAGCGCTTTCGTGCGTCCCGGCGGCGACACCCGCCAAACAGTAGGTGCACATCCCCGCTGTCATCAATCAGATAAATCCCGTTTCGTGCACCACAGGCGTCTATGTACGCCACCCCAACAAGCTTCGGCACACGCGGTACTCTTCACCCCCAACTTCAGGCTTTGAGGTTTTTCCGCATGGCCGATCCCGACGGTTCCGGTGAAATCGACTTCGAGGAGTTCAAGGTGGCGTTATTCGCCGTCGACCCTGACAGCGGAAACCCCGTTGGCTTCACTCCCAGTGCCCTCTTGACTCCCCTCGATGCCTTCGAGGTGACGAAAAGATAGTTATGGAGGATTGCACGGGTTCCGAAGGTTTGACAGACATGTAGAGCTGTCTAGCTGCCTCTGGTGGGACAACACCGTGCGATCAACGGCCCTCCTCCTCGCCGAAAATACAAATACAAGTCGTGCTCGCGTGTGGTGTATTTCCCGTTGTCTTCCCGTTGGGGCTGAAAGGTCTTCTCGACCCGTTTTTTTGCCCTGTAAGCACTAGTCCGTACGAACGTCTTCTTCTCAAAACGCCGGTACGGAAATTCAATCGCAGATGTGTGCGGCTTACTCGAATACTTTCTCGATTGCACCGGCGAACCTCGACCTAATTCCCACTCAAAACGCGCTGCAAACGTTTCCTGTGCCGGACCATCCAAACCCTTGCAAAGATGTTTGACGAAGACAACAGCGGTCAGATCGACGAGGACGAGTTTTTCTTTCTCCTGCAGTTCCTTGGCATTGAGGTGGGTGGTGTGTCCCGCAGTTCGCGAAGCACGTAAGCGTACACTAGTAACCTAAATAACTGAAAAGGTTCTACACGTCATGCTTGATGCGTTGCGCATTGCTCACGGGCAAGGTGGCGTACTTGTTGGATATCCTGGCGGTCGAGCATGGTGAAGGACAACAAACTTCATGTGCGGCAGGTACTTGACGACCTGTTCGCTACTCTTGGTCAACGTGTCGCATGTAGCATGATATGAGATCGCGATCATAGTTGTAAGATCACGGGAGGGGTGCGCGAATAGCAACTTTTTTCGGCACTTACCACCATCACCACTTGCCGTCACATCTGCTAGCTGCAGCCAAATGCGCGGCGCTCAAGTTTCGTTCACCTGCCCCCTCCCTCCGTTCTGAAAACCTGAAGCCCTTACACGATGGTTTCCTTTCACCAGACGACGGAGATGAAACTGGAGGAGATGTTTAAGAAGTACGACACCGACCAGTCCGGCTACATCGAGTACGCCGAGTTTAAGAAGATCTGGGTCCGGATGACCAACGTCAAGAAGGAGCTTCTCGAAAGAGGGGTCAAGATCCCCAAGATCGCCACCAACCGGACGCTCTACAACATGCTGGAGCAAATCCTCGATGCCGAAGAGGACAGGTGGGGACAAACAAGTTTTACGAGTTCACTGCTGTTCTTTGTCGATGGTCGAGGGGGACGCCTTGTGGGTTTGTCTCTGTTTTCGTAAATATGCATCGTTTCGCAGTGATTGGCGTCCGTCTCGAGTCACAAACGATGGTACCGCCTACCGGGGTGTTTGCGTTTGCTAACGAAATGGAGGGAATATAGTTTACCCAAATTCTAAACAGCAGCCTCTGCTCCGCTACCTAAAGAGGTGTTTTTCGTTGCTCCAGTTTCATGTTGGTGTATACGTTCTGCACCCCTTTTTCCTTCCTTGTTATTCGGTACTATTCTTATCTGATTGCTCTCTTCCCCTGTCGACGGTTTGTTGTCGTTGTCGACGTTGGTGTTGGTCTTGGTGTCGTCCTCGTCGTTGAAAAAGGGAACGGCGAGCCATGGCCGAAGCCGAGAGGTGGGCGAAGTGGCAGCTGCTCCTTAAGGACAAGCGAAGGGCGTACGAGAAGGCTCAGCGCCGGACCAAGAGCGAGCTCAAGGCCGCCCTTGACGCCGGCGGGTCAGTCTGGATGTTCGGCACTGGCCCCTTTGGGGAGTTCACCGCGCCGCCCCCGAGGACGCTGAAACAGGGAGAGCACGAGTTTGCCCACTACGACGATGTCAAGGTAAGCCGACTTGAATAAGATCAGGACACTGATTTGTATCTGAATGGTGGTCTGGAGGGGAGCGAAGTGGGGGACTTCGGGAAAAATCATCATGACTGGGATTACATTGCTTCACCCTCTCTTGCATCTGCGTGGGTAGGCGACTTCGGGGAGGGGGTTCCGTGGGTGCGTCCCGGACACATGTGGTGTACACGTGTGTAAGTGAGTACTGACTTGAAATATTCGCCCTCTAGGCCAGTTGTTATGGAATTTTTTCTGATCTGGAGTCCCGATTTTATGCCTGTTACATCCAAACCCACATGAGGCCGCAGGAGTTCAGCGTACTTCGTTGGAAAAGCACACAAACGCTCTTTGGCCCTCAGTACTCGCATCACAGAGACCCGTTGGCATTCAAGCCTTCGAGACCGCGCAGTGCATTGCTGTGAGCCTCTTCGAGCCAAGTTTGGGGAGCTGGGGTGCGGTGTGCGTTCATCATGCTGGGTAAAATAGGGATTCCGATTTGGAATTGCTGGACGATTCTGGTTGGAATTCCTCATGAATTCCCAGCTGGAGCTGCTCGAAATTCCAAACTGGAAATGGTGAATTTGCACTCATATCAAAGGCATGCTCTGCGCACACTGCACTCTAGCTGCCCAAACTTGGCTCCGAGAAGTTCACAGTAGTGGAGTGTACAGCCTTGCAGGTTAGATAACACACAGGGGTCTGTGAGGCGAGGACGAACTGACGAAGCGCCTCGGTGCGCTCTGCTTGCTATCCAGTACGCAGACCTCCTGCTTTTAGGGGGGGGTGGAGCATTATCTGTGGTCCCCCGGATTCCCATCTGGGAGCATTTTCCAAAACAACTAGCCTAAGTTGGTTTATTCTTGATTTGGAACAATTTTCTATCTCGGCTCAAGGAAATGCGCTTTCCGCATATACAAGATGCTCTTGTTTCGCTTCATGCACTCTGAAGAAAGCCTAACGTGAACGATTGCAAAAGCAGCGGAACCCGCAACCGCACACCGGACGCCACCACAGACCCGCAAATCGGACGGACACCACAGACTCATTGAACCTTCTGGCCGCTTCGTGTCGCTGATATCCATCGAAACGGCCTCTTTCAGAGCATGTGGAACACGCGCGTCAACCCCCCGGCAACCGCACCAGAACCCATCAAGCTGGGCGTGAAGCACGCTCGGCGGCGGCGAAGAACCATGGGCCTTGGGAGCAGCACCCAAACCGTGAGGGCCATGATGCTCAGCATGCCCGCGAACGTACTTTAGAAGAAGTGGGCGTTACTGGAGTTGGTGGCAGCGGGCCCTCTCGGCCCTTGTCTGTTGGGGCTATCTATCGTGCATGAGTACGTCAGGACGTTGAGTACGGGGTGGGATTTCTCGAAGAAGTGCATGCTAAGGACGGGGGGGATGAACGAGCGATGGTCGCGTCACTCTCGTGCACCAAATCGACGAACGCCACCATGTAGAGACGACCTCTCCCTAATAACCACCCCGAGTCCCACCCCCCACGTGACGCCCCCCCCGCTTTCATCAAAGACCGATGACCCTGCCGAGTCTGCTGAGGGGGAGACTTCCATGGAGAACGAGGTGTTGACGGACAACCAGGACAACCACGTCGATCCGGAGGACGACAGGAGGACAAGCCCCTTCGCCGGCCTGTGCGTGGCGAGGAGCGCGGCGGCGCTGTGGGGCCGACGGATTGCGTCGGTGACGACGAGCGACAGCGCGGCGTTCGCCTTCAGCGAACTGGGAGAGGTACAAATGCAACACACGAACGTGTGATAGTATATCGACAAACACAAAATACGCGGGCAAACCTTTGAGAGGGGGGCCGTGGAGCAAGGGTGTGTGGGAGAGAGAGAAGCAAGACATACAAAAGACGTGGAAGACTACCACTGAGACTGTGTATAAATTGTTGTGTGGTTTCCCCAAGCCGCCTTCTTTCGTGCCTGCGTGGGGCGTGCTTGCTCTTGGATGGGTTAAAACGGCCTGTTTGTCTCGAGCCAACCTACTTTTATTTTTGTCTGGCTTCGTCTCAAGTTCTAGGCTACCTCCAGCAACAGCATTATTGCAGGAGCAATTTATGTTGCCCCACCACCTCCCACACGTGCTATCTAGGTGTGATCGAGCTGGTTTCGGCGTTGATGAGAAACTCGACAAGTAAAGGTGCTGCTGTCTAGGACAGAACACACCATCTTTGCACGGTTGTTTCGCTATTTTTATTTTGTGTGCAAACCCTTTCTCCGTGGAGTGAGGATGACCTGGCGGACGGGATAAACTCGATGAGACGAATGCTCCCCGCCTAGTTAGCGTTGGAACCCTAAGATACATATTGCCTTGTCTTGGCTTCCAAGTTCAAGCGATGGGTTCAATACCCTTGTTTGGCATTTTATCGCTTCCTTGATTTGTCGCTTTTGGAAACTTTCACTTCTTTGTTCGCAAGTCAAGGGACGTCCTCATGGGCCATTTTCTGATAAATGCGAAACCACAGACGTTCGTTTCTTGGTGTTGAAGAGTGCAGAAGGGGAGGTACTGTGAGAAGCTCAAACAACCGTTCTCAATTTGAGGACACCAGCAGCAACACTAAATAAAGAAGAGAGACACACGGCAAACGAACATAATTGAAGAGAAAAAAACGGCACCAAACGACACGTATGGTCTACACGAACGTGCAAGCAGGGGTTTGCCTGGGGCGGCAAGGATCACTGGTGGTTCGAGATAGGGCCGGACTCGCACTGGCAGGAGCACTGGAGGGGCGACACCACAGAGAGGAGCCGGCTGCTGCTACAGACGATGCAGAAGCAGGAGCCGGACGAGATATTCCCAGAAGAGAAGGAAAACGTCGAGGAGAACGAGGCAAGGATAACCACATTACTGTTGGTTGTGTATGACACTTATTAGTTTATGCGTGGGGGAGTGCAAGCAGGTAAAACTCTCGCGAAACCAGGGTAGGAGCTGACATGAAAAAAAGATGTGTGTGTTTTGCCTTCCAGACTATGGTGCGAATCTACAGTACCGCGTTTCCGTTGTCGTCTAGAAACAATGATTCAGTGTCCAGCGTTTCAGAAACTCAGACGACCTCTCCGTTTTTGGTTTTCTCTGGTCGACTGTCCTTCGGTCCACTATGAACTTCATGTGCTCTGTCGAGGAGATGTGTTGTGCGTACATGAATTGAAGAGTACACGCATATGAAGTGAATAGGCATGTTTGAATGTATGTTTTTACCGGTATTTGGTTTGTGTCTGGAAGCACCTACATGACTCATGCTAAGTACGTTCGACCCATCCTCTCCGGCACGGGGTTGCTCATGTTGGACGGCCTTGCTTCGCAGATCGAGAAGTTGACCGCCCTGACCCAGTACTATGGCGTTTGGAAGCCTCCCCCGACAATTCATAGGCTGCACCACATCAAGTACACCATCCTCCCGAAGATCAAGTGAGTGAGACGAATCACGAGAGGAGCCGTTAGAGGTTGTCCAAAAGACAAAAGAGTGGGCGATTCATGACGACACTATGTAACCCCCCCTTCGCTCGGAAACCATTAGAACAAGGGCCATAGCTATCCAAGAAGTTGTAAAGTTCATGCCTTCGACATCGTACCCCGGGTATTGGGAAGAACCCGGCCGTTGGTGATATCATTAATAAGAGCAAGAATTATGTTGGGGCGCTGATAATATGTTGCTGCGAGGGCTCGTTTGCGCCGAGCTTGTTGTCTAGACTGCACCGCCACCCTTGCAAATCCACGGCTGTGGTTCTTATGATATTGTGTTGCCGTTAGACGCCGGCACCGTGCCACTGGGTACATTTGATGGTTTCGTTGCACTTGTCTTCGTGCTTGAACTACGCCGTCCTCTTACATGCCGTTCATGGGGGTTAGACTACTGCCAGCGCGTATGGCCTGTAGATGTGAACAGATCTATATACGTGTCGTCCGTTTCTTTTGTGATGACTCCCGCCCGCTGTCCGTGTTACGGCCGCCGTTGACACGGCATGTCGCCTCCACCGCACCGTCAAACGCGCGCGTAGGCATGCGGAAGTTAAGTACAGCTTGCAGTGCAGGGGCAAGCATGTGGAGGACATGAACAAGGATGAGCTGCTTGATCTGCTCCACAAAGATATCGTCTTGGAGAAAAAGGTTCGGCGTTCGTTGCACTTCGATACGGTCAATGACTGTTTGCGTACTCATGTTGGTAAAGGGGCGTCCCCGTCTGACTTATCGCCATCGCCCGCCTCTCTCGGGCTGTAGTTTTTCCACAACAAAGACGGCGCCATTCCCAGAAAAAACTGTTCGAGTGAGTAACACCGTCGCCGTTTTCGACGTTGTTGCATCGTTTCGCGTTTCTGGATTGTGCGACGTGTTGGCGCGCTACCCACCTCTCTCGAACCAACAACCAACTACGTCGACTGACGATGTCCATCGTCTTCGTAAAGAACCCGGTACACTTTGTAGTCACATCACTTTTGCATCATATGCCCTTTGCACCTCGCGAATCAAACGTGTTCCACAACTGTACTTCCCCCTCTACAGTAGTAAACTTAAAAGCATGGGTTTCACACCATACCGATTGGCCATAGTTTGAAACCTTCCTCTAGAAGACGCATTAGCATATCGGCGTAATCTGCTCTATAATCGTAAGCACGGGACTTTCACCAGAGCCCCTCTATCGACGCCCCTTGCTGACCCCTCGTCTCCTCGACGACACCGGGAGCTTACATCCGCCACCACGACCAACGTCTACCCAACAACAAATGACACCTGATCGTTGAAACATCTGTAGCTCGATTAATTGGTTGCCACATTGCTGCGTTCGCGGTATTTCCCTCAGGTGTGTTGCGTGTGTTTTCGTTCTATTTACTATGGCGACAGTCCCCCCATTTTTAGTGGTGAGACGTGTACTACACATTTCCCTCAGGTGGCAGAGCTACATAAAACGTGGTGTGAACGTCGGCTGGCCCTAATATCGCTGACATTCCATCGATTTCACTCTCTGACCACCGCCATGACTCGCTATTGAAAAGGTTCTCGGGGAGCGTCAACACCGGCAGATCCGCCAACTGGAGCTCGAGACTCTGCATGTGGGTGTTTTCCATTGATACGACCCCGGGTTGACTGTCATGCCAAACATTAATCGCTGGGGGGCGCCCGCGTGGCTAGTGCGGAGGTTAGCGGGGGCAGGGAGGGGGGGGGGGGGGGTACTCGTAGTCGTGCATGCCGTAGTCGTTAGACCATTGACCTCGAATCCCTACAAAGCCGGGACGGAGCACGCCGGGTTCTCACCGGGCCAGACTCTCACATCACCAAGCGCGAAGCGCCGTGAGGGATTCGGCGAGTCGTATGAAGGGTGCGCTGCATCCTGCTAAAGGTATTCGGCATCTTGTGCTTACTTCCTTGCATACGGATGACAGCTGCGCATGACCTAATTTATTTTCTGGTGCTTTCACAACCAGAGACAGTTGTAAGCACTGTGCAACTGCCTCGAGGATGCTTGACCATTTTAACACAACGTGGTGCGGTCATCCCCCTTGCCCGGAGTGAGGGTCCTCGACCCCGCACAGCATGATCTACTCGACCACCATATGGTTACCGCAATAAAAAAAAGGCAAAAAAAAGCTGTGACCTGGTTGTCGAACTCACGAAGCTGGTTGTCGAGCTCACGAAGCGATCGGCATGTGTTGCAGCGTTGTTGCCAAGCGACGAAAACCCAACCCCGATGATAAACACCGGGGGGGGGAGGGGGGGGATCAGTCACGAGTGCTCACGTACCTGAGTTCGATATTGCAGTCGGTCGTCGCAGGGACGTGGGGCTTTGCCGTGGAAGGAAAGCATCAGGAGTGCAAATGGTCGTTTCTTGGCGAAGAATCCGCTTGTCGGCGCAGTTTCTACGTCGTAGCATGAACGCAACTCTTCGCATTCCCCGTTCCCCTCTCAGGGATACATTGTAGGCATTGTAGGCATTGTAGGCATGGTCAGTCAACCTTTTTCTGTTCGTTGCACCAAGGGTGTTCGGAACGAAATTCGAGTCACGCATGCTGCGCTCTTCAGGAACCACCTGCACCCACTTCCTGTGCCATCTTCGTTTCCCTCTTACGTCGCCCGTTGTGTGTTACCCTCGCAACAACAACAACGACGACGACGATGACGACGACGACAACGACCCCGACGGAGAACTAGATGTACGAAAAGGGGAAGAACGTGATGGGCAAGAGTCTGCGGCTGGAGATCGAGGAAATGTGGGCCCCCCTCAGGGAGATACAGGCCGAGGATGCGGCAATAAAGAAAGCCAACGAGGAGGCCGGCTTGGGCTCTCAATACGCCAGGTGAGCCCGTTCAAGTTTGCCGAAGCCACCAAGACGGGAAAAACGAGAACGATAAGCCCCGAAGCAACACGACGTAAGCATAGTCTCAGCTCACTGGCGGCGTACCTTGTGCGGGCGCGTTCACCCACTTGCGTGCGGCGGGTTTCTCACGCAGCGACAGCACGAAAAAAAAAACATCTTGCCCTTGGACTCTGGATGGATCACGCCACTGACAACACGGCGGCCGACAGGGCCTGCCCCCCCGCTCGTTGCCCCGCCAATCGATACAAGGGTCCCAACCTGTGGTGGTTGTGCACACGTATCTATCTAGAACACAGACCGACACACGGCGCCCTGTTACTGGCTAGCCAGCTAGTGCGGTCGACGTTTGTTTGGCTAAGAACCACACGCGCCCACCACGCCCGGTTGTAAAAAACACACACAATAGGGGGGAGCACGTGTACAGTCAATGGCGGGAGCGGATGGCAAAGGCCCGAGACGACGCAAGTCCCGTCTTCACCCCTCGCGGGAACAGCCTCCAAGTTAACCTGGGTGGCATTACGGAGAGGGCGGCAGAAATGCGCAGCCCACGGGTGAGTGGGTGGGTCATTTGGCCAAGCACTTGCCGGTGTCAATTTTAGACTGGCGGGCGTTGGTATGTATCCAATGCTGCAAATCAAACAAGACGCCGCTGTCGGACGTCGTGGTACCGTTATATCACGGGATTGACAGCGGATCGAGACTGGAGACGCAGGTCACGCAAGTCGGGGCGAGGGCGAAGATGAGTTTGTGGGAAAGGGCAAGGCACGAGGACAAGGGGGGAGGCAAGGGTACCGTTCCATCCCTTCTGAAGAGAGTACCCACTCCCGTTAGAATGGCAGCAATATCTGGTTGGGGCATTCATCACACGGTTTGGCTCAGATCTTGGCGAGAGACGTAATTGGCGAGAAAACGACTGATGAATCATTTTCTTTTTATGCAAATGAACGTAGGTCGAAACCGACTGATTGCGGCCTTCCGTGTGGCAGAGCAAAGGCGGGAGGAATATATTAAGACGGGGAGGGGCAGGGGTCGTGCTTCGTTCCTTCGAAGGAGAGTTCCAAACGCTACCTAGAGGGTGAAACAAACTGCGTGGGGTTTTCTTCCAGCGCTTTGGCTGCCTCGCACACCTGTCCAGACGTTACGAACGGATACCCGTACAGGCGTAAATTTCAACAGTATGATCACCCGTTGCGACAGCGACCTCAGTGACGCCACCACCAACGCCGCTGCCGGCATCACCACACACCGCCAACACCGACCCCCACCACGCACGGTAGGCGAATGATGCAGCGGTGGCGATATCGGCCGGAGCGAACCACGTGCTTCTCGTGCACAGGTCGGGACAGCTCTACACGTGGGGCGTCGGTGCGAGCGGGCGTTTAGGGCTTGACCTTTCGCAGGGGGGAAACCCTCAGGTGCGTGATCGCGTGGTCACCGCCTGTGCTTAGCAAGGCTTTGCAAGGTATGCGTTCTTGATCTTCGCTACCGGTAAACAGCCCTTACCTGGCCCCCTGCCCGTCATAAAGCTTACAACTCGAAGTATTTGCAATAGTTTAGGAGTACAAACAATTGCAAGCATACACAGGGTAAAACCATGCCGTTGTGTTTTGTGAGAACCTCCAGCTACAGCTGTTTTTTAAGACGATCTAGCAGGTACCAGTGCACGTTTTAGCTCTTCTGTTTGTTTTTATTCAACCCGACGCGAATTTTCCATACTCAGGTAGCGGATCACAAAAAAACAACACCAACAACATCATCTTGACTAGCAACAAGACACAGAAACAACAACAACAACAATAACAGCAGCAATAACACTCGGACAGGCTGACGCCGCCGCTGCCACCGTCATACAAGCGTTCTCCGGGAGACCCGTCTTGAGGGCCAGTGCCGGGTACAACCACAGCAGCGCCATCACCACATCCGGCAGAGTGTATACCTGGGGGAGCGCTGCCACAGGAAAGGTAGATTCTTAGATTCTCTCTCCGTGTCATGGAGGCTGTCTTCGCCGTCGCCGTTGAAGGAACCAACCCTACGTGTACCGCCTTTTCTTACCTCGGCATGACGTGCTGCTGCGCGTGGCGTAGGCGTTCTTAGCAGGTAGCAATTGCGTCGTTCAGATGGCGGCGTCGGGGCCGCTCTCCTGGAGAGGTGGAGGACTCTTGTTCGGGTACATGGCACCGTTCTTGATTGTCGAGAAGTATTTTCGCGTTCACTTGTTACATAGCGTCGTCTTGTTCGGCGTTACAGCAGGCGAAATAACGAATCGATCGGTCGATCGATCGACCGCGAGTCGAGTTAATTTAGGCCCTTACGCGAGACACCCTGTTCTGAAAGGTAGCTATAGTCCTCTCCACACGCTAGCGCTCTTTCGACCCCCCGCTACCGCTTATCTGGGTGGTTCTGCTGTTCTTGCCTGCGTCTATCTTGTGTGCCCACACCAGCTTGGGCTCGGCATGGTGGATAGGGACGTGTACTGCAGCGTGCCCACCAGGGTGATGGTCGATTCGCCTACCAAGGTTAAGGAGGTGAAAAACATGCAACGAGGCAGCAGCCAAAAGGCGCTGCCTCTCTGCACACGGACCGACTGGGGCGTGCAACACCGTTTGTTCGAGGCCTCTTTTCCCGTAAGGGTGACCTTGGCACTGGCATCCCCACGCTTATGCCAAAAACTGAAAAGGGATTCCTTCCAGCCCTTGAGACCTTGCGTAAATCTCACAGCGTCGCCCTCATGCAGCAATCATGTCGTTACCCTCTTGTACAACAAAAATATCTTTGCACATGATACACGTTGTGATGCCCGTAGGCTCTTCCCTACCCCCTTCTCGCTTCGATAATTCGCCGTGTGCACCACGCGGTCGTGTCCACACTTTCGTACAATCTAGATCAGCTGCGGTGCGGCTCACACGGCGTGCGTGACAGCATCGGGACATCTGTTCATCTGGGGCTGCGGAGACGGCGGGAGGCTTGGGCTGGGAGAGGAGAGGCTCGGTCCCCAGTACGAGCCGGTGCTCGTGGAGTCGTTGGCGACGGGAGGGCAGAGGATCGGGGCGGTTAGCTGCGGGAACTCGCACACTCTGGTCAGAACGAAACTAGTAAACATAGTAAGGTGGTGGTAGCTTGTGCGATCGGTGTGCTGTGCGTGCCGTAAAGAAGTGCAAGTGATCGCGCGCCCCTTAGGCTATATTTCGAAGCTGGACAACTATGCAACCAAAAGGGGGAGAAAACCGATCGATGTGTGCAAGGGAAACTGTCACAGACATCGTTCCAAAACAATCTTTTTCAGAATCGGTAGCCTCTTGGCCGTGGAGCAAACGTGCTGTGAAGGTGTACGATGGCTCACACTCTCACGGTAGGTGTCCGTAAGGCCGGTACAGACTACAAGTGAGAGAGCCAGAGGGTGAATGACCGAAACATGGGATACACGACAACCAACACGGAGTGTTGGAGGCAAACCAAGCATTTAATTGGCCGGAAGAGGGCGGTAGAGAGAGCCCTCCCCCCGCCCGCCCTCCACCGAACCTCGGACGTATCCACTCCAAGGGATGTGTTCAAAACAACCAATTTTTACCAAGCAAGCAAAGCATGAGCACGCCCTCTTCCCCCTCCACCCCCCCCCCTGCCCAGGTGGTAGTGAGTGTGCACCCCCCTAACATCTGTGCCCCCTTCCCATCTAGGCGCTGACGGCGGTCCGAGAGGCACACGAGGGCGAGGGTGAGGGCCGGGCGAAGGCTCTAAGGGGAGGGCGGGTGTATCAAGCCGGCTCCACAAACGTTCTCGGAACCTTCTGTCCAGCCTTCAAGCCCACCATGGGCCTGGATGAAGTCATGGTCAAGCAGGTGATTACAGCTTCTCAGCGGCAATTCCTCACTGCATGGTATTACTCGATCTGCGGCTGCTACCACGTGGGGTAGGCAGGTAGGCAGGCAAGTACATACGCAGTAGAATCAGCAGGAGCACGCACGTCCAGCACGTTGTAGTATGTGGCTACGTCAGTAGCCGCCGGCGACAGCAGTTTTTTGGCACCTTAAATGCGGTCTTGTTGGCTCGTACGATGACTGCAAGATGCGGCAGGGTTGCATAGTGTACCACATTTGAGGAGGCGGTCGGCTATTTCCTCCGGCTCGTGTTTGGCACGATACGATTCGTCTTGCTTTGTCCATTTCTGTGAACGCCGACAACCGGGTACTCGTTTCACAAAGCGTCCTTGAAACGGTAGGTGTCTGCCGGGTATGGGCACAGCTGTTGCTGCACGATGGACGGGGAGCTCTACACGTGGGGGAGCAACCGCGACGGCTGCCTCGGCCTGCCTCGCTCGACAAAGTTTGCCAACTTTCCTCAGGTCAGGAGCGGCGGGACCCGTCCGTGATCACCAGGACCCTGTCACACCTACAACATTCATCATTGTTGTTCCTGCTTATTCATAAGTAGGCGACAGGTTCTTACGCTTGTACTCGGTGGCAGCGGAGTAACTCAGCGTTACCAGCGGAAGAGGGAGGAGGGACGTGCGTAGTAGGGATGGCAGGAGATGAGTTTTGTCCGTGAGCGTCCGTCAGGAGCCTTGCGATCCACCAGTCCCCCCCCCCCCTCCCCGCCCCCCTCTTCCTTGAACGCCCACATTTCCAGTCTTGATGGCCCATCGCACCACCGTTTCTTACAAACCTGACTCGTTTCTATGAAAAATTGTGCGCTACAAACGCATAGTTGGTGACCTGCCTATACGTGAGCCCCAAGAACCTGGCCATGGGCCGTCCCTCTCGCCAGAGCAGCGTGTACGACGGCCTGAGCGCGGGAATGGCGGTCGACGGGGACCGGTCCGGAGACCACTACCGCAAGTGCTCCTGCACGCAGCAGGACCCCCAGGGGTGGTGGGAGGTAGACCTGGGGCAGCTGGTGCACGTGCACCAAGTGAAGGTATTGGCGGAAAGCGTCCTTGCTAACGTTTGCTGTTTTTTCATATGCGGTAAACCGCGGGATCGACACATTTCTACCGTACCACCAACTGCGTCTCTTGCCCGAGGCACGGTCTTTATTTCCTCAGCGGGGTAGCTGTGCAGCGGCTTCTTCTGTGTAAGTTCAAGTGTGGGGTGAGGCTAAGTTCTTAGGCGCTGGAAAATTGGATATTTTTTAGGCTCCTGACTCCAGAATCCTGAAGTTGCTGCGCTTTCTGCACATTGCCCGCAATATACAGGACTACTGCTGTGCTCGTGTTGTAGTTGTATCAGGTTCCCCGAAATGTGCGAGAAAGCACGTTATCAACGACGCAGGCCAATGCCAGCGACGTTTCTAAGGGCGGGGAGCAAGTGAAAACTGACGGGAACATGGATAAAAGTGTTAGAACCAAGGCGAGGGGCGCTTTCGGAAGGGGAAGGGGCGAATGGCAGACCTTGTACACCCATGTTGAGAGCTTTTAGCGGCCAGAAATGGAACCATTTTCCTTGGTTTCGAGAGATTTGTGGATTAAAAGGTAAATTCTTTCAATGAGACAAGCCATATGCCGGTGCCCCCCACATACAGACCTTCGTGCGCGGTACGGAACGAACACCCACGCTGACCTCGCGAATCCTCGCCAGTTTTTATCCGTATCTACACGATAACCCTCCCTTTCACTCGACCAATCCGAACCTGCGAGTAGATCCGACATCTCCTTACATCTTCGATGCCCGTACTTATGTATCAAGATCTGGAACAGGTGCGACGAGCCCAAGGATCCATCCATGGAGCGCAACTTTTACGCGAAGAGGCTTTTTCCGTGCTGGGTGATGGCCTCCCAGGAGCCTTTCAAGGATGACGTTGGCGGGGCGGCTCTGCTGGACGCCATGAACACTGCCGTCGCTCGTGCTCACTTCAAGGAGGCACGTTTTACCAACACAGAGATCGGTCGATGCCCTGGTCCGGCTGCTACGTGCAACGGGCTGTGACTTTCATGCACATTGGTGCCATACATCGAGTCCCTAATTGTAACACACAATTCTCGCGCGGTATACCCAGAAAACGCACGACAAAGAGGAAGTAGTCAGGCGGAGGAAAAGGCCAAGGTATGGATGGACAGACCTGACCTCCACGCGCCCCCTTCCCCCCCACGGTTTCTCACCTTCTTTGCTGCCGTTTGCTAGGAGCAAAGGTGCTTGGTTTGGAGGTGCCCAGACCAAACAATGGCGCGCTACGTGCGCGTCCAGTTGCAAGGGTTTGACTTCCTCCATATGGCGCAGGTCAGACACCGCGACAATCGAACCGATGGTTGTGCCGGTAGGGTGAAGACGCATCCCCGAGCTGTGCTCCTTCAACAATCCGTGGACTTGGCCGTGTGCGTACTTAAGTGGCATATGCCTGTCGTGGAACAGGCCTGGCGTGCTGCGACCGTTGCTCGAGATGCAGACCCGAGAGTCAACGAAGTGAAATCTGCAGCTCTCACTGTCGTCCTCTCATGGATAGGTGGAACCGCTGGTCGTGCTGTGCCTGGCTGCACAAATCCCATGCAAGCAAGACACTTCCAGACTGCGCCCCCCCCCCTGCCCCTCGCCTCCCCCTCCTTCCTTCCTTCCGGAATAAAGGTGGAAGTGTTCGGCACGACGGGGGCAAGGCGTTCCCCCGGAAAGGTGACGCACTGCTGCGCCGGCAAGTACGTGACCACCGCCGTCATGGCAGCGATGCAGGACTCGGCCGACGTGGAGACGGTGTACAAGAGAGCCGTGCAGGCAGACGCCTTCAACGCGGAGGTGCTCAGGGAGTTCGAGACCTTCTTCGCCGCGTACGACCAGTGGGGTAGAGGGGATGCCATCAAGGTGGGAGAAAGAAAAGGATTCGAGGACTATGGGGGAGAGGGCTATTTGGGGTAGGCGCAGGGAAGGAGAAGTAGGGTGAGAATGTTTTGAAGAGGCACCGTTGACCCCTCTGTGTGTTGAGCTATCTGTGACGCTGTCATGCCGTCGAAGTTGGGATCGGGCCTCGAGACTGCCTGAAGGTACCTGTGACCATTATCGTTTCCCCATGACCCATCCTTCTCCGGTGGATCTGTTCTTAGAGTTGCTGCAGATAGTAGGCTGTTCAACTACCTCTCCAGCTGTGTTACACTGTTTGTCACAAATATTTCCCTCCACCCGCCTTTTCTGACACATCCGCCCTGCGGTGTGAAGGTTTTGAATGCCTGCCTGACTCGTCGGTTGTATGTACTGTGTCTCTGTGACCTGTAATAATCGCCGTTCAACGACCTCGCCACCGGCAACCCCTGAGCAGGGCTGTCTGCTGTGTAAAGCCGGCTCCCTCTGCGAAATTTGCGCCATGAAGCACGTGAGGGCCTTGGGTTTGATGTGTTGTGGTAGAGGTTTTGGGGGGAGCCAGGGTCTGACTAGACACCTGTTATTCCCGGCCCGCGCCCTTAGAGCTCCGGCCGCCTTCTCGCGCGCGCGCGCTTTCTGTCTCTCCACGTATGCGAGGACTATAACGTCGAAAAGATAATCAGGAACGAGGCTTTACAAGAAACACGTGCATGCACCGCAAAACACGGCAACGAGCGGGTTAGGCCGCAACGGCAGGAGGGCAAATACAGCACGTGCCTTTCTTGCACAAGGAGCTAACTTTAGAGGATAACACCATGCGTAGAACAGCAGCAGCGGTAACCCCAAACTCTAGCCTCTCTTGTAGCCCCCATCCCCCAGCCTCATGTTCCGTGCCCCTCCGCGACCTCTCTCTCTCTCTCTCTCTCTCTCTCACCAACTCGGCGCTTCCAGGAATTCCGAGATGAACTGCGAGATCTGCCACTGGGGCCGGGCGGCAGCCTGCAACGTCTGTCGAACATAGCGCAGTTCCTCTTCGACAGGGAAAAGCCAGATCTCGTTTACCAGGGCCCGGTGAAGAAGAGCACCGGGATTATCAGCAACGTCCGGGGAAAAGTGTCCAAGCTCTTCGCTCCCCTCCAGGTATTATTCCCGCGACACAACACCAGCCGCGAATAAACCGAAGCCGGGCCTGAATACCTGGAGAGAAATCTGAAAATGTAACAGCGTTTTTTTTCCGACGTACATACAGTTGGCCTTGATTTCATTTTGTTTACGACTAAGAGCATAGTGCCCCCGGAAACGTATTGCTTAGTTGTTTCAGTCCCTCAGTATCGCGGCACCATCGCTTGCAAGAACTGCGTGTAGGGTATAACCTTCCTCCTCACCCGGCGAACACCCGGAGTAGTAGCGGTATTCCAGTGCTTGTTCTGCAGGACCACAAATCACAACAAATACCCATCCCCCCATCCCCCCCCCACTCCGTTCACACGCACACGTGCGTGTACCAGGGTTCGGTCGGGGGCTCCACAACCACCGGGACGGACGACGATTCCGAGATGGGGGGTGGCGATAGCGGCGGTAGCGGAAGGGGCAACAACGTCAGATGGAAGAAGGGAAAAAAGAAAGGCGGGACCGGTTCCGAAGACGGCACCGTTTCCAGCGCCAGCGACGACGACGACGACGACGAAAAGCGGGCGAACCGGGAGTACCACGTGGGGAAGCTGGGGGGCAGCCTCTCTTCCTCGCGCTCGTCCAACTCTAGCGCCACGACGGCGAGCAATTCGAGTATGTCCACAACGTCGTCGGGGAGAGGCGGCAGTAGTAGCTTCTCTACGGGAGAGGGTGGCAGCAGCAACACCGGCAGCAACACAAGCATCGGCAGGGCAGGGCGGGGTGGAAGCACGGATCGATCGGGCGGGAGCGTGGGGTCCTCGACAACGACAAGCAGCGGCGTTTCTACCACCGGGAGCGGCAGCTACTCCAGCTACTCCAGCAGCGGGAGCAGCACCACGACAAGAAGGAAGGCCACCGGAAAGCCGCCATTAGGTAGTAGGAGGAACACGAACTTGGCCACGAAGGGTAAACCAAGAGTGTCGCCAGTGGGGTAACTCTTCACACAATATTTTGCTATTATTTGCACCAACAGTTTTTGGTGCGATACACGCGGGGGGGGATATTGTTCGATCGATGATAGGCCTGAGATAACGTATCGTATGCATATGTGCGAAGATGTTTTTTGCCGTTTAGTTTGCCACCCCTCGGGCGCGCGCTGCCCACGTCGCTGGGAGGTTGTCGTAGTTGGCCTGTAGGACTATTGTAGCGAGGATGCTCATTGCAGTCGGGAACAGACAAAAACTTAGAAGTGAGGAGGAGATGAGACGGCGGTTAATGATTGGATCAAGGTCATTCCTTCGTTGTCTATATCCGACAACCATCTATCGAGACTATGTGGCCTAGACTACTGATATTATGTAGGCCTAGACATGTGTGTTGTTTGTGGGCCTACATGTATGTGTGCTGTACACGATTTGTGTACTGTAGACATATTTGTAGCCCAGAACTCGAGGTTTATCAGCAACAGCTCAGTCAGAGTCACCCCTTTTGCTACTGGCAGTCTACCTCCTGCCTCTCGCCACCCCTTTGATGCCCCCTTCGCATTGTGAGGCACTTTGAACACCTGCCACGTGCAACTACAGACCACGAAAGTATGTGGATAACCCTTGATGTCATTGAAAGGACCTTCAAGCTGAGACGATGGTCGGTTCGCGTACTTAGATCGGCAGTCAGTGAGAGCGAAAGGCCTGGTTTCGCGCGAGGATGTTCAAGCGGGACGAGGAGGGTGCGATAAAACTACTACCCTTGCTTAATGCGGATAAAATGCAAGTCTTGGAATATGTGAGGCGTCCAGCGGCGGCTAGAGGGCCTCGCCTGAACTGATGTACTTCGCCCCCCGGGTCAAGAGCTCTCTCAGCGCCGGGAGGGGGGGGGGTTGCATGAAATAAACGCTGCACCGAGTGCCAAGTGTGGGGTGGGAGGGTGGTTTCTTAAGACTTCACTACCTTTTCGTGAGGCTTCGGGGGCGAAAGAGATATGCACGTGCCTAGACTATCGACTGACGTTGCCCCAAGATAAACGGTTCTCGTCGTAGTGCCAGCAACATCGTGGAAATTTAACTGAAATATTGAAATTGGTTCTCATGTTTTTCTTCTGATGCGTATGCGGGAACATCAGCCACCCGTGTCAAGGGTGCGGTGAGAGCGCCCGCATTCCCTTCCTCTCACACAAGTCTGGAAGTTTAGAACGTACAACCCGCTACCATGGAATGGTCCTTCACTCGCCGCTCCAATCACGAGCTCCGCAACCAACGCTTTGTGTCTTCCTACCTCTACGCTTCGATTCATCCGGGGTTCTGGTGGCTCATTCGGTCGTCTTTCGTGTGTGTCAGAGAGCAAGACCACCGGGACCTCGGATGTGGCGCGGTTACAACCAGCTTTACGAGGACGACCAGTTGCGTGGAAATCATTCGTGCTCAAGAACATTTCTTATTTTTCTGTATTGTCTTGCCCGAACGATCCGATCCCTGTCCCAAAACCTCAACACCAAAATCCAGGGCAACACCAGTTTGAACGCTCCTCACGTGGCCTGCGTTTCACCAGTCTCATCGGGGTCTAACCATGAGTAAGGCATCATAAAAGGTTTCGCCTCACGAAGCCCGATCCACGCATGCAGTGCTCCTCAAATCTTCCACACTTGGTCGTGTGGGAACTGTTTCAGGTTGGTGGTAATTTGTTCTCTTTCCTCACGACAAACCTCTGCAAAACCAGCGCTCTTTGATTCGACCAGCTACTCCCCACCATACCCTAGCCCGCAAAAATGGTGGGGGGGGTAACAACGATCTGATCGAAACTTAAGCCCGCCCCAGCCAGCCAGCCAGCCGGACAGCCGGACCCGAACGCAAGTATAGACACGTGGCACAAAACCGCACCGGAGCCGCAACACCCCATCATAGGCGGCAAAAAGGACATAACAGCGAGACCGAGCTCCGCCACCACCAACAGTCTACCCGAAAATTCATACACGCGCACTCCCGATGTTGCCACCGCCATCCCACTGTCGTCCGCGGAAAAAAAGTTGGGTACCACCCAGTCTATCGCTCAAAAGGTCGGACCACACCAGGATTAGTAGTGTCATATACCACCAGACAGCACACGCATGTACTTTTTGTGGTGGACACCAAGCCCGGATTATTTACGTGTCTAAAAATCTATGTAGGCCGACAAGATCAGCCCATGTGCCTCTTTGTTTACGTTTTGTTGACACATTAGTCGTCCCCTCTGGAACAAAGTCTCCCCGATACAAGGTCTTACCCACATCTGTACCCACCGGAGTGGTAGGTAGCTGCCCCACACAACGAAGACAGGCCTGCTTGTACCCGCACCCGCCACACCCGCCTGCCTCCTCACACGACGAGTCCCGCCCAATACATGGTGCAGACAAATCATCGACACGATCGCCCGAGGAGAACGCGTGCGCCGCTATTCGGTTGTCCTTTAAACTTTGGCCATGCCGAGCAACTCCTTGGCTCTCTGGAAGAAGGAATTCTCCAGCTCGGCCGGCGTCTCCCCGTGCTTGGCGTACTCGATGGGGTTGACGATGTCGCAGTGGTTGTCGGTCGGGTCGCAAACACTGGCCTCAGGGATTTCGTCAAAGCTGCGACAAGGATTGTGCACCGATCGTTGAAACATGCAACGAGAGGAGAGGGGGAGGTACAGTGACAGACAGACGAGAAAGACATAGAAACAGAGAGCAACAGGGAATACGGATTGGGGGACGAGGGCATAGCGCGTGTCAGTAAACGAAGAGACCTCGGCCAAGTTGTACGAGGACTGCGTGATTGCAGGGTGCGCGACAATACACAAAGAAACCTCAAGCCAGTCCTGATGGAGCAAAGAAGCAGAACGCATGCACATGCCCACATCAGCAGGCAGAACAAAACGTGACACCGCGCCACACACCCACGGGAACCCGCCAGCGTACAACGCCGCTCTCCAGACGGTGCTTCGGCCGAACACACAAGGCAGGAAGGTCGTTGGTATCTTCAAGATTGAAACTTGGCGGAGGAAGTGCCATACATCACCCCGTGTCCATTGTTAGCGCCATTTCCAAGACAGCTATGCGGCAGCAACCCCCCGGACGTATCACATCTCTTCTCGCGCAAACCCATGCATTTTGATATCGAAATTCCTGTTTCGGACGCAAGAGGAAGGAGTCCCATGCCGGTCGGCGGGCGCACCCTTACCATTGTTGTAGGGAAACACGGTTTCGCCCGCCAAGAGCGTGCGCGACGGCGGAATTGGCGCCCACGAAGAAATGTTTCGAAACCGTCGACGCGTGCAAAAATCGCTAGATATACATAGAGATGAGCACCAAATTCCTGCCGTTGAGTAAAAAGGTGAAAGGAGGGCCGCCGCTGCCACAAACCCAGCGGCGCTTGCTTTCACGGGGAAACCCACAACGACACACACGCCAGAAGCTCAGCGAGAAGAAGTCGAGGGTGTCCGCCAACGTCTCGGAGCATACGCTGTCTCCCACAAAGTACGGGCGGTCGGTCTCTTCTCTCCGTGAGAACGCAAACGAAACGCGACTATTTTAGTCTTTATCTACCGAGCGGTCTAGGTTGGGGAAAAGGTGCCGTTCGTCCGCGCGGCATACTGTACCTCTGACACTTCGTCGAAGCTGAAGAGACATAATGTGAGCACAACAAGAGGCAGGACAAGGACGCGCAAGACACAGGCAGCAGCAGTAGCAGCAGCAGGATCAAAATCACAGAAGGGGGAGAGAGGAACAACTGCAGGTAGAAAGGACCACCCACCAACCATTCGAAGAACAGCCAATACGAGCTCCCCCCCCCTCCCCGGGGGCCTTTTTCTCGAAAGGGTTGAACCATCGAGTTGAGAGAGAGGAGAGAAAGAGAGACACAGGGGACTTCGCCGATACATACCGGCGAACCGCAAATCCTGCATGCTCTCGGAACGCGATCGCGCGGCAAAGTACCTCGCGGGCGGGGTTTGAAGAGCAAAGACTGAGACAGATAGATGCAGCGGCCAACAGCGCGTTCTCAACGCGAGCGCGCTGCTCCGGGAGAGAGAGAGGGAGGTATCGGACTCGTCCTCGGGTGCTTTCGGTCGGTGCACTCCGAGACGATTTATGTTCGCGCGGTGCTGTTGTTCGCTGGCATGCTGGCGCCGCCCTCAGACCCTCGTTCCGGACCGTGCAACACCAGTTCCGCAGGCGTGGTGCGCCAACAAGCTACCGCGGATGGAGAGCTGACTTGTCGTCGGTGTCCATGGTCCGACGTGTACCACAAATCGTTGCGTTCGTTCAACGTCTCTTGCGGACGAGTCTTGATCTAACGGCTTCGCCGCTCCGCGCATGCCTTCACGCGCGGGCGGGCTCCTACTTCCTCAATGTGTACGTCAAGCGCAAGATTCTATTTCTGGCAACAAATCAAGTCTCAGAAACAAAACATTCGGTTTTTGCTTCCGAGACGATTGCTGTTGATGGGGTTTTGGTCGGCGACTCGCGCGATCGTCGCTTCCCAACTCTGGACTTCGGGTTCGACACAATTAACGCACAACTCTCTCCTCAAATCAAGCCTTCGCGGCTCGATCTTAGCGAGGGAACGATCTTAGCGAGGGTACGATCCTAGCGAGGGTACGATCTTAGCGAAGGTATGATCGTAGCGAAAGCATGATCTTAGCGCAGGTATGCAAGCATGGCGTAGGAGCCACAGCAACCGGCACCAAAAACGGAAGCCGACGGATCCCTCCCTCTGCCGCCCAGCCAGAAGCCAATGCCCCTAAGCAAGGGCTGGCATGGTTACTGAGGTATATACGCAGAACCGAGGAATCACGCCCGATAAAGGGCCCGCGCGCACCAAGACTATTTGGACAACATCAGAAGCAGGAACAGCAGCCGCGTGCAGCGTGGTGGTTTCTGTCTCGAACGAGGGCCCAGAGGCAACTACTGCTGAATGAATATCGCAAACACACATCACCCAAGAAGAACACAGCGTACTACGTACGTAGAGACAACACTTAACAAAACTTCGGGTCTCGACAAAATATGTCTCACTCTCACTCACCTAACCCAGCGTTTTTCTTCGGCCGACTTTCCGGCCGCGATCGCCATGATGAGAGCCATGAGACCGTCCTCACCCGAGCACGGCGAAGGCTTGTCGTTCACCAGGCAGTCGCAGAAAGCAAGAGTTTCCTGGATGTACGCCTAAAGAAGTGAAGGCACCGGTAAACATTTTGACGTCCGGGGGGAGGGGAGGGAGACGGGGGTTGCCATGCATGGTAGGACAACGCCACTAGACTCTGGGTCCAGCCTGTAGGTAAGAAAGAAACGGCCTTCTGGGTACGGTCTAAGTACATAGACAGCTAAAGACGGCCGGGGTGAGTTTTTCCAAGCATGTGTCGCACGCAGTGGTAGACGACTGCCAGCATCCTCTTGAATACAGTCTCGTATCTGTTGTGGGGTCACAGAACAACACACAACTCTTATTTCAAATCATCACAATAACTTCTCTTATAATCATGTCAGGTACTACTGTGGAGCAGCACACGTGGAAATCCTTCAAAGCTGGACACCAGCAATGCCAGACCGAGACATACTCATTTCTCGTGTCCACTAGGAACCAACTTTGGAGCCCTTTCCGCTCTCAGCTAAGGAGAGACTAGTTCGGCCCCGCTCCCCCATCATCTACAACACCTGCCACATCTACCACTCCCGGAACACAACATATCTAGGCGGGCACACCGCCCCTCGATCATCCCACCAGGTGAATCGATACACATTTTGTTCAGATCAGACATCATCGAAGGAGAGCAGGCGGTCACGATTGTTCGCTCGTCGCCATTCGTTCGTTTGTCTGTCCGCTTTTGGACTCAGATTTCGCTTGTTTGGTAAGTGGGGAACGAACACGGGCGTCTTGATTGCACCGCATTCACCTCCTTGTAGCGGCTCATGAAGAAGTCGTACGGCATGTCCGCGTTCCCGGTGAAGCCCTTGAGGTATACTCGGGCTGTGTTCGGGTACCTGGCAAAAAACGACCGATGAAACGAGGTGCACGAATGGGAGGAGGCACGCGGGGCGGTAGGGGTCAGCAGGCGGGTGTTTCGATGGCATGAGTGTAGGACAACACTGCAGCAGCAGATTCTCCGACTATACATAACACTATCGCAGATTCGACAACAACCATGCTTGAACACCTACAGCCCCGAGTACGCACAGCAGGCGAGGGCACAACGTAACACATTTCCATGTTTGTTCCTTCAATTTTTCGCGCGAACGCCATTGGGCACAACAGGAACCTCCAGGAAATTTGAGCAGAAACAACTGCAGCGGCGGTAGCAAAAAACGACGGGACCACTACAAATACTTGGTTTATTTCTCACATGTTGTCGGTCTGGATCATCCCCTTCTTGCCCAGGGCCTCCGCACGCTGGTCGTACCTGCACAAAATACGAAAACGCGAACGAAGGGTGAAGATACTGACTACCAAGGCAGCCACCCGAACAGAATCAGCAAGGGGTTCAATGCGTTTACCCAACACACCGGGGGGGGGAGGGGGCTCTGCCGAACACGCTACTAAGCACTGGTAGATATCATGATCCGATGAAGCGAACTGATTGATCTGAGCGACACTGGGTGTCCACTTTCTTGTTGTAGGGTCTTGTTCGCCTCTGTTCTGCCCTCATGCAGGGACAGCAGTCGTGTTCTTCACTGACCCTTTGAGAAGAACCAAACCAGCCCCTACTTCTGCCTGGGAATAACCAAACCAGTGCAGTGCACAGAACATCGTGCTCGCGCTTTCATGTCCTACTCTACAGCAGGCATGCCCGGAGGGCCACATGATGCTTCTGGAGAAGAATGTGCTCGGCGGGTGCATCCCCGTGGAGTGCGCACCAATGCCAGAAGGCCTGCCCGATCTGGTGCGCACTCGATGGGGATGAACCCGCCGAGCACATTCTTCTCCAGAAGCATCATGTGGCCCTTCGGGCATGCCTGCTGTAGAGCAGGACATGGAAGAGTATACGATTCCCTCCCCGCGTCCCGGTTGTGCAAGACGCCAAACGCCCAGCTTTTCGAGAGCGCGCTCGCAACATACACGCATCGTTTCTCTGCTTCACGTGACTCCTATCGAGATCAAAGCCCAAACTCCTATCGGCATCAAAGCCGGGGGGCCAAGGAAGGCTGTATGAGTAATCAACCCTGAAAGCATGGCGCGATGATAACTCGTATCCGGAATTTGACCCGAATGCGTTCGAGTATGGAATGGATGCTGTAGAGCCCCACGACGACCGAATGCATCTCAACAGACCAGTCCAGCGAGATCAAAGCAGCTCATTGCACCATCTAGTCTCCGAACAGCGGCGAGCTGCGAACATCGGAAACCATCCTTTCAAATAGACTCTTTCTCTCTCTGTCTGTCTCACTCACACAAACACGCACACTCTCTTTCTCTGCGCTCCTTCCTTAAGCGACCTCCCTGTGCCCCCAATATCTACCGTACAGCCAGCTCACCCGTAAGGGGCCTGTCGGCAGACGTCGATCACCGCCGTTTTTCCGCTCTCAAACTCGACCATGATCATGGCCGTGTCGAACGCCTCCGGTCCATCCAGGGTATCGATTGCGTGGTCGATCTGGCACGAACCTTGAGCGAGGATTCGCTGTAGCCAGCCCCGAGAGAGAGAGAGAGAGGGAGAGAGAGAGAGCGCGACACAGAGAAACAGGGAGAGAGAGTGAAACAGACAGAAAGACAGGCAGAGGGAACTAACACAGGGGGAGCGAGCCGAAACATATGAGCTTGCTACACAAACATGACCGTCTGAACAACAAAAAGTTCGAAAACGAACAGACGTCTGCTCTCGCTGGTAGTAGGTAGGCATCACAAAAGGCCAGCCGGTGCGCGGTGCTGCCCCTCTTGAGGCTACGGGGCAAGAAGCGTACGATCGGAGTTGTCTTTTTTCCGCACTCCCTCGACTACCATGAGCCGATCCACAACGAACGGCCGGTCGCGCATGGGCTAAATTGGTAGGTGTTCTTACGCACATCCCTCTGCTATATTACAGCGGTGCGGGCATTCCCAAAACTAAGTCATCCATGATACATGCTGGACTCAAACCCAGCTCCTTCCCACGCTCTCAAGAAACACAATGCATAGTCAAGCCCACACGTGCGAACACATAATATAAAGTAGCCCATAATCATAATCATGCTTCGCTCATCCTTTCACGACGATACGTTCCACTCTCATGCTTTCCCAAACAACAACTGGTTATCACAGCAGCGTCTGATAGCCCACTGATAATCTGAAGCAACGGGGCCCAATCAAGCAACGGCGCCCCGAACCACATTCACGATGGTGAGAAATCCCAGCATGCCGACCCGTGCGCGCGTACCGTGGGTTCCGAGCCCATGAGGAAACGAGACATGTCAAGGTCGTGCACGGCCATGTCCTTAAAGATGCCCCCACCTCCACGCACGTACTCCACCGGCGGCGGAGAAGGATCCCTGGACGTAAGCTTCACCTGAACGACAAGTGTCAAGGCCACCACGCACAACGCGTACGACGGGGCGAGCGAGAGGGGGGTGGGGGTCGGCCACAGCAAAACGAACGTTAACGAGGGACGGGGCGGATAGGGATAAGCGCGGTGGCTGTAACAGAGGCCGAGGGCGCCGCCTACATGCATTACGGTAGGTTGCAGAAGATCACACACACCCTCACCCAATTTCAAACCTCTATGGTTCCAGGACGAAGAGGTGCCGGCATCACATGATACGTTTTCGGAAAGCTGTCGACGACATGGTTCCAACGCCGCCATTTCAGGCACCGTCAACGTTTTTTCTGCCGAGTAATCGAGCTTTGAAAACCGGTCCAGCGGGTGTGATACCTTATGTAACGTACGGACTGCATTGCGGCAGGACTAATTTGCAATCATGTCTTCGCGTTCGACCCCCCCCCTGGGCCGAAGTGAAGACCACTTGGAGATATACGGGAAGTTGAAAGAAGGGATAGGGATGAAGAAGTACTTGGACGGCCCCATGGACTATGCGAAAAAGCTGAAATTGCAATTTCGAGTAGGCGATCTGGACTTGCCAGAACGGAGGAAGAGGTATACCAGCCGTAGGAGAGAGGAAGAGGAGGATAGACACACATGTCCATGTGGCAAATCGGAGGAGAGTAGACCCCACATAGTTGGGGAGTGTGAGTTGTACAGGAAGGAAAGAGAGGATCTCGAGGAGGAAATGAGACAGAGAGGGTGTGACATGGACAAGTTTGGTAAATTAGACAGCAGCGAAAAAACGATCGCGATAATTGGGGATAGATGGTGGGCACAAGAGGCCCTAGAGGACGGGGATAAGATGTGCAAGAAAATTTTATGGAGTTTGTGGCAGAAACGTAAAGAGCTCCCAAATGTTGGTGGTGTCTCTAGTAGGTGTAGGAACGGTGCTCCGTCTCGAAAGGGACGCGTGGTCAATGGTCAAATGACTACGGCAAGCAACAAATGAGTACGCCCCCTGGGCCGAAGAAATGGGTGCCTTTCGATAATTACAGGTGTGACACACACCATGTAGCGTTTGAGGATTTTACCACAAAATCGGACTACACCTTGCATCTCTGTTGTAAACGATCAGGTTCCGGGCGCCGTCAATTGAATATTTTGCTGTCAAGGAATCAACATCCGCCGAGTCCAGCATAGGGTGGTCGGTCCTTTCTACTTGGTAAGAAACAAAATCAATTGTGGAGAAGACAAGAGAGACAGCATCCGTGGAGAAAACCCGCACCGCACCAAGTGCAGTGACAATGCACGAGCAACCCAACAACGACTATGGTTCCACCATCCTGCACCAAGCCGGGCAGTCTGTCTGCCTTCCATCGAGACATGCACAACACACACGGTGCACGAGAGCAAAGCACCCTGCACACGCCACAGCGCACAGAACCAGTGCACACACACAAACAACACCCCAGCACAGTTTGTAAGAGCAGCACACACACGTCGAACTTCCGGCGTCCCCTCTGTCGGTAGAACTCCTATCCTTTGATTCGATGTTTTTTGTGTTTTTTATCCCGCTACATGTGCAAAACTGATTATTGGTCAGCCAGTTAGCGAGGTCGCTGCCTAATTAACAAAAACACGCCAACACACCTGGATGACCTCGCCGACCTCTCCGTCCGCGATGGCGATCTTCACGCGCGCGAAGTTCGGGTCGAACCGCCTCTGCAGGGCGGTCATGAGCTTGACGTTGTTCTCCTTGCACGCGTTGATGGCCTCGATCGTCTCCGGCACGTCCGTGGCGATCGGCTTCTCGCAGAAGACGTGCTTGCCCTGAGCGGCGCACGCCTTGATCTATCGTTGTTCGTTCGTTCGTTCGTTCGTTCGTTCGTTCGTCGATTTTCCGGAGGGAGGAGAGCGTATGCGGGAGGGGCGCTGTCAACCAGCCCTGCTTGAAGACAACAGCTAATACTCTGGTAAGAGATACAGTACCTTCGAAATGCTAGAGCACGAACGACGACGGCCGTGTCACCAGAAGGAGGCCAACGGTGACCCCCCCCCCCCCCCCCCATTTGCAGTACTTTGGTCATATGTTGGGGAATACACATCACACTGGGTAGACGCGCACTAGCTGCATACTTTGACTGTGGGCGCCCGGCGACAAGCGCGCATCCAAACCAACGTAGAAGCGAAACGTGGCGCCAACGCCACGATCGCAAACGGCACTCCACGGCACACCGGACAGCAAAAGAACGCGCCATCTGATATAATTTTCGCGTGTTGCCACACATCGTTCGTCAGTATGGAACCAGCAGTCCGCCGCGCGCCACTGCCGCAGTGCCTGCGCCAGCGCGAGGCGCCCAATCAAAATCAACCAGGAAGGCCACACAACCGTCACCATCAGTACGTAGCACGTCACGACGAACGAGACTGAGAGGAGATAATAATGTCAAAAGTAATCTCGACACATACCTGGTCGGCGTGGAACTGAGAAGGGGAGCAGATCCACACGGCGTCCACGTCCGGGTGGTTGATCACGTCCTTGGCGTCCGACGAGAATTCCGCGACGTTGTACTTGGCCGCCGCCGCCTGGGTACACACATAGCCGGGTGGCGCGGAGGGAGGGGCCGAAAAGGGGGTTCATGACTGGAACACGCGAGTGACATGTTTTGATCTGTTTCGCCCCCCAACAACTTGCGCTTCGTTGTTCATAATCACCCGAAGAAAGTGGTCAAAGGGAAGAGGGTTTTGTAACCGTATTCCATGCATCGAGGAGGTTAGACATGGAGGAGGTTGCGATCGCTGCTCGTTACTCGTATGCGTACAGACACATTCCGGCGCAGCGACACGCGCGGACAGAGTAATATTGGTACAGAGTAACGTCGTCGTATTTGCACAATTGCTCGGCGACTTCTGTGCTAGACAAAACTAGTTTTAGGGGGGGTAGGGGGCCTACAGGCACGGCCGTCCAACAGCAGACGTACCTGCTTCCGACGACATATTGCCGCGGAAACACACGGGATCAAGCTCGTCGTTGAGGGGGGTTCTTGCAAAGGGCGGTAATCGATGGCTAGCGTAGTCTAAAATTAACATGCTTGGAGGCCAAGCAATCGAAAACGACCTTCCGGCTCGGGTAGTCCCAACTGTACCAGCAAAGGAAATCATGGAGCAGCGACGAGCGCGTTGGAACGCCCAGATCTGTTGCCGGGGCCGCACAGTCCAAGGCTAAGGCTGCGGTCCGAAAAGTCCGCAAATCTAATGTAGATCCATACCATGCACGATCCTCTGCTATACGCGCCATTACAGACCCGATCGCCCCGACTTGCGGGTCGTTCAAGGCAGCTAGTGGTACGAGCTACTTGCCATACACCCGCAGTTCGGGGGATCGAGTCTGCGACGGCGCGTACAGTAGCAGATCGTGAAGGGTTTGGACCTAGATACGCGGACTTTTCGCACCGCACCGCAGCAGGGGATAACGGTCTGTAAGGTAGTGACTCTTCTGATCCACGGTTTTTCGATTTGCAGTCGACTTGGGACCCGTTGACGGCATGCTTATGCCGAACACTGCACACCAGCCCACGTGAGCTACTCTCGAATCTTGACGCGGAACAACACTACCACCAGCGAAGCAGTAGCGCCATATCGCTTACCTCGGCTTTAGATACGGTGGGGTTGCTGATGATGAGGGGCTTAGCGTTGGCGCAGCTGGATAGCGCCTCCAAGTGCACCAGCCCGATCCTTGAAGTTAAGGCAGACCAGCAAAAGCCGAGCGACATGGGGTATTCGTCATTTCGCAGCAAGCAAGTTGGATGTTTGCTCCCCGATGACACCCCACGTCTTAGACACACTGGGACCGCCTCGTCCACCGCTTGTCTAACGTTCTTCAAGACTCCCGAACGGGCCACTAACAACTCATCAGCTCTCACATACTGCTTTACCAGTAGGTGCAAAAAACAAATCTCGAATCATTACTGCGAGGTGTACGTGATGTACGATGCCCAGAAACGCGAGGTGGTAACAAGGCTTTTGCTTGTTGCGTAGGACGCGAATCCACAGCAGTGTGCTTGTTCGCCAACTACTCTCCATATGGGTTGAGGTTGAGGTTGAACACGCCGTTTGTAGTCAACGCCAAGCCTTCAGACCGAGAGAGCAGTTTTTCGTGTCCAACACGTCAAACGTTCTTACAACTGACTGTACATCTTTACATGCGCTACACTAACTGCTGTAAGGATGTTCCGGTTACAGAGGCTAAGGTAACTATACGCCTGTTCATAAGTTGTGAGCAGGAACGCGTGCAACCTTAGCAATCAAAAGCGGTTCTGGGTTTACAGCCTGCCTTTGGAGGGCGACGGGGTTGACCATCGTCCTCGACAGTACCGCTTGCTTTACTATAATAGCATGTTGCAGCCCCGCCCGCAACGTCCGAACACACCACACACGACACGACGTACCTTCCTGCACCGATGACACCCACGTTGATAACCTTCATAGACAACCCTCCCCTGCTGCTGCCGCTTCCCTCCCCCCTCAAGGCGCTGCATGACACCCCCGATACAAACGACGAGGGCTCCAGGTGCTTCAATCCGGCAACCGGGTTGGAGGTAGAGGGAATCTGCGACAGCTTGGAGCCAGACTGTCTGAGCGCGTTAGTCCGCGCAATCCCAGGAGTTAAAAAGGCATTGCTACTGGTAACCAGCAAAAGGCTCAACACGATGCTCCCTGCTGTAGCCATGCCGCCTCTCTATGAACGCAACAGCTCGCTGCTCCAAGCAGCGGTGTGGTATGAGCACACACGGACAAGCGATACGTCAGCCAATCTCCATGATCTACGAAACCCCCTTGGTTCAGAGATTCTGAGTTTGTTGAGTGTTGGTGGCGACCAGCCGGACCGATAAATAGTGTACAGCAGTAGACTTCACTCAGTCTCCAGCAGGTTTCCCCCCCCACTCACTGCAAATAATTTCATCACACCCCCTTCCATGGCTGGTATTATCTCGAACGGTAGTCTTTTAGTGATTTTATGTATTTTTTCTACAGTCGTCCAAGAGTTACTGATTGTATGTATTTTTCGGTCGGTCAAATCCAGTTTTTTTTTTTGTGTGCCCCCGCCCGGCCCACTCTTTCACCTGTAGTCTCACACCGCAGCTCGTTAACACAGGTCATCACGAAATAAACTGCTACTTCTTGCATGATCATGCAGGTTGCCTACCAAGCAGCCAAGACATACGCATACATGCATTGACGCCGACAGCAGTGGGAATCTCACTGATTCCTTGAAGGCAGAGTTCTGTCCATTTCGAGGTCAGTGCTGGTCCAAACGGATCATCATTAGTGTTCAGGGCGTGCAAACCATCACTTTCCAAAATGCAGTATCAGAAACACCTGGCTAAAGACCGCCTGTGTACTTGGGGCATTGAGAGAAATCTGAGCTTCACCTGTCGACAACTCCACGCAAAACTCAGGGCGGATCCCTATGTGGCGGGGTTATTTATGTGGAGGTCAGTGTCGCACTCAGGAACCTACGCTCTCCCAGAGTCGAGGGTTTCGTAGGTACAGTTACACGCGCAGCCATCCTAGAAGACTTGATCATGAACATCTTTGAACAGCAGAGCTGTTGTCTTGCTCTTTTGTAGATAAAAAAAAGGGGGACCGCGCCTCCAGGACCATCATCCGCCGAGAATCCTATCCCTGGAGTTGCAGCTCCCGTCGCAATCTCGCATTCTTTCCCTACCACAGAACTCCCGTTCAGATCCTTGTACACGAGTCCCCAAACAATCAATACTTAGGTCGGTTTAAAGAAAGAATCTATCCTCAGTCCTGCCGCTGGTCGTTTCGTCTGGCTTTTTGCCCGTTTCCCCCCTCCAGCCTCTTGTATTTTCCGCTTTGGTAGCCCCTCCCGGTCTGACATCCTCGCCGCCATGTCTCGCGCAACGTCCCCTTCGCGAGTGTATCTCTCCTGCAGCCCCTCGGCGTAGTGAAAATCGAGGTGTTCTTGAAGATCCTCCGGCGCGAGCACCTTTCCGCATTTGGGGCACCTTTCATACCCTGGTCGAAGCGGCGACGGTGCCGTTCTTTCATCACAAGCAGCTCCCGCCAGGTGCGATGATGGCTGGAAGTTTCTACTTCGATCGACGCGGCTGTCATCCTTGCTGCCAACTCTTGGAACGTCTCGTGGACCTATAGACGCCTCAGCCGTCTCTGTACCAGGCACGTCTTCATCGTCTCCTTCAGGCAACGATCTGCCGCCGCCTGCCTGTCCGCTTGGATCTACTGCAAGGGCCTGCTTGGCATCGGGTTTCACGCCTTTCGAGCCCCATTTCTCGAGCGGCGACGTTGGTGGAGGCATCGGCTGTTGCGGCGGCGGCGGCGGCGGCGGCAGCGCGCGCAGAAAGGAGGCGATCGAGCCCCGCCCGGAAATCAAGCCGCAGAATTCGTGCGCCGTGAGGGCAAGGCGGCTGCAAGGTAGGGCGTTATCGGTCTTCGCGAAGACGGCCATTGCCTCCGACACAAGGGATGCCGTCGTTGGGGACTCGCCCCCACCTGCCGGGCAAAACAAAAAAAAAATAGGGTTCAGTTCTTTGGGGCTTTTCTCGTCTGTCTTTTTCTTCGCTCGACGTATTTCGGGTCAATTTTGCCGCTCCGAAAGTTGACCAAACGAAACAAGGAGCACGCTTATATATCGAACGCGCCGAAGGTGACATACTGTAGACCGATTGCATTGGACGCCCCTCGACCATTCCGCAATGTTGGGCTCACCGGGAATATCGACCGTCCGGGAACGCGTTGTCGACGTGTTGCTTTTTCCGTTTCCTCCTCCAGCGTCTCGCTGGTTTGCCCTGGCGAATGAAAAGCAACAGCGTGGACAACGGCGCTTCGACCTGAGTACTAATGAGGTAGGGTCGAAGTGTGTCAAGGTCGTCAGCCTTGGACTTGTCTAAATGACGACAGACGATTGAAACGGGCCACATACTGCGGTATCGGCTTGGAGTCCGGACACGTGCCGACGAAGACGTGTAGCGTGCCACGAAGCACGCAGCATCACACTTTTTAGGCTCCTAGAGAGCATGCGTGTCGAGGTCCGGAAGCCGAATGTACCCTACCTAGCCCCCTTGGTTGGCGATGCCTTCGTCTCGCGGTACGCACCTGCTTCCCGGTTTGAGGGAAATCATCTGAAGGGTGAGCTTGGTCGCTCTCCGGCTCCACGCTTCCCTGTCCACGGCGATGCGCTGGGACAGCTCTGTACACAGCAGTCTCATCCAGTTCAAGACGGATTCCTCATCGCGCACAGGACTGCGAAGTTTTGGGCGAATTATGAGCGCGAGAAAGAGAACGGACAACAAAGAGCCGTGAGTCCTGGGCACCAGAGGAGCGGTGGTGCGAGGTTCCAGCTCCCTCGTGTCCGCAGACAAACGACCACTTCGCAAAAGACGGGTGACGCTTGTCTATGGCCGCCTACTTTCGCGCACCCGCCGAGAGACAGCAACGCTAAGATATCAAGAACGAGTACTACTTCCTCTGGCCCTCTGGCCGAGATTAAAAAAATTGTACTCAACCCAAGGCTCGCCAAGACAAAGAAGCAACACCCCGTCAACAAGGCACGACAGTTTAGTGCGCGAAATGTAAGCTTCGTCCGGCCAAAAACCGGGACGAGCTACAAGACTAATCTCGGCCAAACGATTGACAAAATATGGAGAGGGGGCCGGCCGAGCAAAGCTTTCCCGCGGGAGCGTGCTTCTCCCACTGCCTGCTGCGACCCTACGGCTGTTTTCCCTGCCTCGCTGGGGCTCACGTAAATGACTTGCACACGCTGAGGCTCTTAGGTTTGAGGTTCGGGGCAACGGGTTCGTCGTCCATTCCGCGACAGGCCCTCCACAGCCACTCTCCCGTCTTGGTCCCAAAGTTTCCTACGAGATCCTGTTGGCTAAACCTCTAGATGCAGGCGCAAGGAGCCGGTGCGCAAGCACGAGAGGCGAACGAAAGCAAGGTCGGTGCACAGCGGGGTGAGAGCGTGATTGCTGCTGCTTGTGTCTTTCGGATGAAGTTCGCGTCAAATTACTCTCTACCAGCCGCCGCCACGGTGAAGACACGCATCTCCCAACACAGGAGAGGGTTGTGTTCTGCCGCAGGAGGGGATGGAATACCCAAATCAATTATGGTCACGTCCATCGTTAAGCGCAAGCGATACAGCCGCCGGTCAAAAGGACAATGAACCACCATTTTGCGACTACATCCCAAAGCGGTTTCAACAATTTTTCATGAGCCAGCGCACAGGCTACACGGCGGCGAAACACATTTGTATATCGTCTGACGGCGCGAGTGGCCTCCACGCACAACTCCAACTTATGCAAAAAAAAAGATATCCCATTCCTCCGCTGAGCGACAAACAAAACGAATGCGAGACCTGCCACTTCAAGACCAGGCATATGGACGTGCTAATTTGTATTTGTAGCACCTTGAGATCCGAGGCTTTCTCGGCCTTGCTCCAAGACACTACAGTCTCGCCGAGCTTCCCCCCTAGACCGCGAACGCTTCGAAGGGGCACCGTGTCGAGCATGTCCGACGAGGCCCCGGCTGGTACCACCGTCTTTTTCGCGTTGTTGAGACGGGAAATACAATGCCGGGAAAACACACCAAACAGCACGAGATGCACCATAGGAGTCACGTTTTCAGGGGAGGTGGTGATCGACGTTGTCTTGAAACGCTGAGCGTAAGGCCAAGTGATAGCCTGTTTGCTCGACAGCCCGGTTGCCGCTGAAAAAACAGAACGCGAGCCTCCATTTCATCGCAAATTCATAGTAGCTCATTGGAAGGGTTAAACGCCGGATCGCGCGTGAGCTCGATGAGCATGAAACTACCGAACACTCGTTTGGGCAACACCAGGGAACCAACGCTGATTGCACCTGCTTGTTCGGCTTGTTAATGCTCGATGCCAACTTGGCAAGAACCTTGTTGGACGCGATTCCGGCGGAGACCGTGAACCCCAGCTCCTGCTCCACAGCCAGACGCATGGCCGCCGTCAAGCGGGCTCCCGCCAGGAGTGCTCGATCAAAGGCGTTCGTCGGGTCGACACGGTGGCCGGCCGTGCCCTAGAGCCGGCGAAATCGACCAACAAAACATGCACAGCGACCACAACAGACGAAGCAGGCGATTCACCGAACGTTTGAAGGTGGGAATGCGAAGGTGGGCGCGACTGACGATCGACCACCGTTGAATCAGCGCATCATGTTCGCAGGCAAACTCAAGCACCCAAGGTCCAAGGTGAGGCGAATGAAGCATTACCTGTAAGTCTGTCTCTGGCGAGTCTGCAACGTCCCGAGCATTCCCTGCCTCCACCTCTTGACAAAGTTTCGCCGCCTCCTCCGTTAGGTCGAGGTAAGCCTCGTCAATGGACGCCCTCTCGACTCGCCGGCAGTGCGCCTGTGATAGGAGTACGACAAGCGTCGAACATTAGTGGGGATGAAAATTCGAGAGGTGCATACCGTGTTGTTTTCACCTAGACACAAGGAACTCAGACCGAGTGGATAAGCCAAAAGATGGGGAACAACGTGGTGAATATGGTGTCCACGGGGCCGATACCCCGATTGCGTGCCTCCCCGACTTAGATGCCGCATCAGTTGCATTTTCGAGATCTAGCACAAGAAACGCTGCAATATCGCAGTGTGATCCGGACGGCAAGGTCTGCTTGAAAGCGTGAAAGGTCACGGTACCCATCACCCCCGGCAGGGGTTCACCTGGAAGATGGCCATGATCGCAAAGCTTGCCGTGCGGTACCTGAGTTAGACGGAAGCGGCACAGTATAGGGTAGGCTATGAGACGTAATGCTCTGTGATCAGTCGAAGCATAGGCTGGCTACAACTGCTTGTTGCTACATGTGTAGGCCAGCCAGATGTGCCCTGTCTCTCTTGTGGCTGAGAAAGTAGACAGGACGCTCCCATTGTGCAGGCACTTTCCCGCCTCTACCCCCCCTCCATAAGTCACAGCATCAACGACAAACACACGCTGGTCAGACTCAAATTGCATTCGTTCATACCTTTCCAGAGACACCTTGCAGGCTCCCTTGTCGTGCCTTGTCCCCGCATCGTCCAGCTCGTCGTCTGCCCCGATGGTCTCGACATGAACGAGAGTGATTTGCGGGCACTTCTGCTTGGCGGCGGTGGTCCTGTCGCCGCGCTTTACGCCGGACTTCCTGGCCTCGTAGTTGACGGCGATCAGCCCGTCCCATTGCTGCACGGCCAGCGGGACCGACGTCGGGATGCCCAGGCGCACGTGCTCCACCTGATGAAAGTCGGCAGGGACGCTTCTGAGGTCGTGTTTTGCCAACTGACCCTGCGCGTGGTAAGCGGGTGGGGCCTCGACACTGGTAGGAGAAGGCTGCCGTTATGTGGACTCATAAAAAAACCATCGATCGCGGTCGGAAAACGACCCTGTCCTCGACGGGAAATGGTTCCCCTGACCACGTTTCCTGTAGTGCCAAGCCCAACATGAAACCGCCAGAGTTCTATATCTGCCTGTAATCCCGATTGCACCGGTGGGCTTGCAGCTGATAAACTCGCTACACATCTCACGAAAGGCTATCTACAGACTGGGAATTCTAACCCCGGCGAGGTGTGTTTGTTCCGCATTTCGTGATGGAACTTTTGGTAGTGAGCGCTCGGTCGTGAGTACACTAGAGGGAAATACGACTGAACCCTTTCCGCGTTGAAAGAATGACCGCGGAGGAATTCTTCTCTGAGACCCAGGATTGGAGCTCTTCAGGTACAGGCTTGCGACCGACGGACTTTTAACAATTGGAAATATAACAAAAATCTGTCCTGTCGTTTACGCGTTCGCAAACGATACAATGCTGTTTGAGCGTTTGCTGCAAACGATGGCAGTGTGACTGCACCCACAGGTGGTTGCCCTCAGAATTTGGAGCTCGAGAGACGCCACGAGCTCTTTCAAGAGCCAGGAAAGGGATTTTGTTCCAGTTTTCGTGCCCCAGTATTCGGCAAATTTTTAATGTACCGGGACAGAGCTTTTAGGAGTTTAATAACGCGGGCGAAGCCCGCCAATAAACGGTGAAACCCATTCATCTGCGAGCCAAACGCTTTCAAAATGTTAATGTTGCACCTCACTCAATGAATCGATGAAGGAAAGGAGACACCAGAGCAGAGGTGCCGTCACTGGGGCAGCAAAAGAATCGCCGTGCAGATATTCTGCCATGCGGGTTGTCAACAAACCGACGCGTCGGGATGGATGGATGATTGATGGCGATTGCTTTGGGTGGGGTGTTCACTCCAATAAAGAACCTGCCTACCGATAGATGATGGAGTCAAGAGAGCGAAAAAAAACAACGCGGAGCTGCCAGAGCATCATCATCACGTTACAGTACTAGGCAAACTGTAATTTTCACGAAAAACTAGAAAAACGCCTCGCGAACTATTGTAGATTGGTGAAGCAGTCCGTCGCCTCCACGTGGCTTTGTTATTCATGCTTTTGGTATTGAACGCCCAAATGGGTACTTGGGGACACCGCACTCAAATGTCTGTTTACCGCACCGTAGTCGTCACTAGACTCCGCTGTCTGAGACCGCGCGTGTGAACCTTGGTCTACCATGCTTGTGTGAGGTGGTAAGCTGTGTGATATACTGCTGTGTGATGTCTCTTCTCGGTCTCTTACTTCATCAGTAAACACACTCTCCCAAGCCGCGCGTCCTCTTGCTGGTTGAACTCTACCTAGTCTTTCTGTGTGTGTTTTTATTTTAATTTTCTTAATATGACACAACGAATCCATCTCTATCATAGAAAAGAGTCTGAGACAGATTAGCAATGCATTCATAGCGTCAGAAAGTACCTGTGTCTACTGTGTTTTTATATTCCTTAACTCTACATACGTATGCAGCCTGAAGAACTGGAAACATGAACATTTACTGACTTCGCTTCAGCATAGGAAGGTACCCCCATGCATTCGGGCACACTTATCTTTTTTCTGTCTACAAAACAACAATACCAAGTGACCAAGTCAACTTTCGTTCTCGGGACTGTACAGCCTCTCCCAATGAGCGGATGCGATTTTTGTCTGGACCTTGCACATAACCTGTAACTAACTGGGTGCTCATGTGCTCATAGCGTTAACTTTTGCATAAACCCTGCTGTGTTGCCTGCACGATTTCCCTATTCACTGGCGGAGAAGCGGCACACCGATTGCTACTTGTCGGTATCCAACTTCTGCTACAGGCAATGCTGTATAATGTAAATTCAGATGAAAACAAGGTGATGCACGAACCATAGCTGCAGTCTGACTACACGTATGCATATGAAGCTTTGAGTTAGCATTGACTTCACTTACTTGGCAGTAGAAGCAGTCGAGATCAGCGTGAACAATGACCCGACCGTGTACCGCGTGGCTCCGAAGCATGTTGGGGGGTAGTGACTCGGCCGGGCACAAACAAACAGCACACAGGGGGCACGCGGAGGAAGCTCGTTACGGCTGTTCCTTTTCACTCTTGTTCACGTTTGCAACGCATTCAAAATGTTCTTCCGCTCCGATACTTGGTGAGATCTACAGTAGTATACTTTTCCTTTCGATGTAAAAGGACATGTTCCAATGAGAACCACAGCAGTAGGCAGTCCCTACATCATGAACTTTTGAAAAACAAGTCACTGCTTTTTGTATTTTATTGTGAAGAACCACGAGAGAGAGTGCATCAAATCTAACAGAGCCAGGAGTGGGGAACGAAGAACAACAACAGTCCGTGTGTACAGTAGTTTTCACTAGTTTTCACGCACTGCATGCACTGGTCTAGGATTTGTGTACATAATCTATACAACAAGCAGTAGTCCTCCCAGTCACAGATCATACTGAAGTGCAGCATCATGAGCAATTTGCTGTTGCCTCTTGCTATTATAGGACATTTTGCCCCAACGCAGAGAAGGGAAGAGAGAAGATAAAAACATTGAGAGAAAGACCGCATTCACAAAACATTGAGAGAGAGACCGCATTCCGTGAATGTGCTAGAATTTTTCAGAGCAACAAGTATACGTCAGGACAATCAAAGCAGAAAATCGATGGTTATTCCGCAAGCAAACCAACGTACAGCAGTAGTAGAGGTGACGGCTGCAGAGCGGTAAAATGTAATTTGGCGACGAGTTGGTCTGGGTTTGCATATCCTTCACACTTGGACTGTTTCTGAGATAGCTGGACCTGGTCATCTATCTATAGCCTAACCAACCATTGCTGCAGGCGCTAACACTACCCCCTAACCTAACATCCACGGGCCACGACTTGTTAACCTTGGATAAACACGAGCACCCCCGCTTCACGCAACGCTTATCTCTCATTTAGGTCTAATCTATCGGAGTCAATTTCACGCTACCACGTGCGAAGCAATCCACCCACCATCACACTATTTTGACACTACGGCTTTTGCAAGCTCTTGAAATCCGCCTTTCGTTTCGCCTCAAACACCACACATGGGCACTTATTTCTTCTTCTTATCATCTTTCTTGTCCCCCGCCACACGGAGCTTCGCTAGCTCTCCTTCCAAGTCCGGCTCCTTCGCAAAGACGAGAGACAACGGTTTCTTCGACTTCGCCGATACAGATTCCAACACCAATACCCCTTGCCCGACGAACGCAACATCAACATCAACGACCCGGTCTTGTTCTCCCGTCTGCGACCCCCCGGTCTCTTTCCCCGTCCCGTCAATCATTGATGTGTAGCGGATATTCAACGAACCCGCGCCCGTGGATCTGTAAGGCGCCGTACGTGCGGTGTGGTGCGCGACGAAGGGGGGAGGGGTGGGGGGATTTAAAATCTGCGCCTTACTTCGCTGGAATCAAAAGGTCGTCGATCGCGCAACGCCATAGTGAGATTGTTGAAACAGACAGAGGGTTCGAATCGCAGGCGCGGGAAAACCTTGAATGTTGTTCGACATGGCCAGGGCAAGAGGTACATACAATCGTCGCTGAGCGTTTGCGGTGCTAATTTGACTAGAAAGAAAACCACGCTGGGCAGAATATGCCTCACGCTGACAAGGATCGTGAACAAACTCAGCACGGCCATCCGGGGCCGCAACCAGCAACTGGGGCGGTCTATTAATACGGATTGCTACGAAAAAAAAGAAATACAAATGTACAAAAAAAAAAGTAGTTGCTGCCACGCTTGCTGCTGAATTCCACAACGCTCACTTGCAGCCCCCAGACAAGGTGTTGCGAAGGTTCGGGAAAGGGCCTGGCCGTCCAAAGAAAGACGTAGAAGAGCGACAGAAAAGCGGCAAACACACACAAAGGTTTTCGACGGGCGGTGTGAGACCATCGCGGTAGCCCGAAAAATCTTAAGCGAGAACGACACCAGAGACACTCGACCTCATGAGTTGGAACACGTGTTCGAAGCGCGGAATAGAACACAGAGAGGTCTGTCGATAGGGTGGATCCACCCCAGAGATGAAGAAATCCCACGTTGAACAAAAGTTGCGTGAGACTTGTGCATTTTGATGCCCAGCAGGACTGACTCAAGCACGTTCGAAAGAATACTGAGCGTTTGACGTATGGTTGCATTTCAAATTGAAGAGCCATTCAACTCGATACGAACGAGTCATACCCGTACAACGTACAGCCACGCAGTCATCGTGTTGCTACCCTGACAAAACTTCGGCGATGGATTGCGTTGTAGTGTGTAGTGTTAGCATCAGCGTGCTGTTAGCGAATGACGCCCGTAATCAGCAGTTCGATAGGGCATCCAACTCGGATATGTACATACCTAACCAGGATCTTCTAATGTTGCATGGGGGTACCACGCATTTCTACGTGTAGCCACTCAAACGCATGGCTCCCAACCAACATTAGGCGTGCTTTGAGTGAGTACAGTAAAGAAAAACAGCTCACCGAAAACACTGCGAAAGGGGGGAAACCAGCACCCTGTGTCACGCACCTATCACGCGTAGCACTTCGATCGTGACAATGTTTCTCGCCGTGTTGCTGCCGCCTTCAAGAGTGATGAAGAAATCCTGTTGGGCAAGAGATAAAAGGCGTGTTGTCAAAACGATGATGGGTTCTGGGATGTTTCCTCGTGCATTGACGGTTGAGACACATGCAGCAGGAGTAATCAGGTCAATGGTCCTAAGGTACCAGGATTTATTTATTTGAGTATCCAGTGATGTCCATGCTGCTAACGTTGTCGACAGAGACGCTCCCTTTATACGTTCGCTCTCTTTATGCGTTCGCTCCCTTTATACGTTCGCCGCCAAGTCGTCAGAGCTCGCTTGGAGCCAACTACACCATCCTTTCAGGCATCTTAAAGCTGACCTACTTTAGCACTTCATACAAGAGCTGAAGGACAACGACTGTTGCGATGAGTCGGACGGGACTCGGCAAGTGTTTCAGGGCTTGGTTCATGAGACGGACGGCAACGCCGGTATCGTTTGTGCTGGCAGAATCGGCGTTGATTTGAGGTGCCGATAACCTTGACGTTTCATGCTATCTGCTGTCGTTCTCTGAATGCTACACAGCTACGCTGTGCGCGTGCACGTTCGTTTTCTCCTCACCTGCATCCTGGTGAGTGGCAGCTTATGCAACCCCGTGCCTACGACACTTATCGCGTCGTCGTCACTTGCGAACACCAGTCGCCAGTCCTTCCCGAGTTCATAGCTTTGGGCCGGCTTCAGAGCCGAAGTTCGCGATCGGAGGTCCGCGATCTCGGCGGCGATCTTGGTGAGGTCTCGCTTTGGTTCCGCGCATGTCTTTAACAACCGCTCGGCAATAACGTCCGCCTCCTTTTGCGTCTCGCGGGCGACGTTCTTGTTGATTCCGTCCGCGTACTTCAAGGCATCCTTCTCCATCTGTGCAGCAGTATGGTATGTATCAGCAAGCACAGCAGTTTGGGAGCAGGGAGGGCGTCAACACGTTGTGGGGATTTCAAACGGACGCTCCTGCAACATGAACATGGAAAAAACACACAAAGCCTACAATGAGATGAAGAATGTGTCTCCACTTGCCGCATCGGGTACCTTGTATGCCTACTTGTATGGACGAGTACAGCAGTATTACCGTATACGACACAAGACAACACACCACATGGACCGATTTTCAAAGCTCGATTTCTCAACAGCAGAAACAGCGGTGGGGGGTGCCAAAAATGGCGGCGTTGAAACCGTCTTGTCGAGAGCTTTCCGAAATTGTATCGTTTCGTTTGTGCATCCTCTTCGTCGTGGCGTAATAGAGCTTTGAAAATCGGTCCAGGGGGTGTGTTATCTTGTGTCGTATACGGTACCCTGCGCTGCGGCACAACATAACACAAGACACATGAAACATGAAGAAGCTGCGTTGTATCCTGCGGGCAAAACTGCCCTATCACAGCGAGGTGCTATGGCACAACTTTTGAGGCTTGAGAGACTGTAGGAACCCACAATAAGAGAAGGGCAAAATGCACAAGCACCGCCTTACCTTCTTTCGCTTTTTGCCGGCCGCCCCCATCGTGAGGGTGGCGCACCTGTCGCGCTGCTCGGAGATGGCGGAGGCGCGATGTCGCATGAGCTGTGATGTTCCTGTCACGATGAAACCTTTACTCACCAAGGAAAGACGCAAGACGCCCAGAGAAATGCAAGACGCCTGTAACCAAGTGCATCTCATTCTCGTGCTACACAGGAGAAGGTCTCGAATCAACACAGAGTGGAACGTGGACAGGGAACGCGCAAGAGCACACACAACAAACGGGGCCGGGGGATCCGTGGTTTTGCCCCAGCAATAGATAGGGGGGATGGGGGTTCCGTGAGTACTGACGGTTACGGTACGTCGAATGCCGATTTTCGCCGCCTGTTTCGTCGAAGTCCTCTCTCTCGAAGCAATCATGGTGCCAGAAGTCTATACGTATTTTGTTAAACAACAAGAAGCTAGCGCAGGTGTGAACTTCACCAGGACTCTCTCTGCTCTCTGAAGGGTCCACTATACTTGTCGCAGGAGCTATTGGATATGAACGAAGTGGTGGTCAACTCCGCTTCGATGGCGGAGGCATGGGCTGGATGGGTGCTTTACGAGGCTGAAAATGGCCACAAGTATCACTACAACCATCTTACGCACGAGTCGCGATGGGCTGTGGAAGAGTGTGCCGAAGATCATCGCGCCGAGGTACTCCGTTCTACACACGATAATGCCATACAGCGGCGGTGAAGAGCACTTCCATGCCAATCAATCTTCAAATCATTATTTTTCTCGTTGCTGCACGAAGACTCCTGACCACACAAAAACAGTACAATAATGCACATAGAGACCACCTATTGCCTGGCAAAATCGAGTATGTGCGGTAGACCTGTTCCGTAATGCGCACATTCTCGGAATCACATTTGTTGCACGGTGTAGGTGCTGCGGGTTGACTATACTATTATATAACATGAACAGACAACAATGTAGACAGCCGCATGCACACGGGGTGGTTCGCGAGCTTCAGATGTTGCAATGTTGGGATCACGCAGGTGCCACCGCCCGCTGCGTCCTTCCCGCTCGCCTGAACGTTATTGAATCAGGCGGACTTCCAGCAATACATCCGCCAACGAGCCAGCAAGCTCGAGGCTGATGAACATGATCGTGCCGACAGGCTAGATGCCGTCGAAGCAGGGGACGGAGATGATGACGATGACGGAGACACCGTAATGAGCAATATCTCAGACTTTGAAGAACCAAGAGACTTCCTCACACCTTATGCTGGAATTGGGCCAATAACAATATCTAGCCCTCAACAGGTAAAGAAAAACATTCATGGGTGCACGTATTTCTGCCCTTGTTAAAATCAGCTACAATCGCGCTTCGTGCTTGCCTAATGCTCTCCAAGAACAAGGCGCACCACAATTGCAGCGTACTCGGAGCACAGACGCATTCAGATCGGAAGAAATCCCCTGGCGAATCAAAGTTCACTCCCTCCCTCTCTATATTTTCGAACGTGCTTCAACGAAGCCGCGGGAGTTCTGTTTCAAGGAAAAAAATATTCCCTTTGCCGAACAATTGCCCAGCTCGGGCGTCCTTGGCTGTCACTTCGAAACACGCTATTTATAGTCTACAGGAAGATATAATCCTCTTCCACATGATTTTACTCCTCATTCCGATCCTAGCACCTATCCCTGACAACACCTACCTTGTTGCAACTGCTTCGCAGCCTATGTTTCTTTTTGCTTGTTATGGAATAACATATGTTGCGCACGCATACCGCTTTGGGTACTTCGCCTGAGTACGCCATCTCTGCAAGGTTTTGTCAACGAACGTCCTTTGAACTTTGTATTACTCGCTTGTCGTTGAGCCAGGAAAATCCTCGAACAAGCGGAATAGCGGACCGCATGTCCAGTGCCCTCCAAAAGGTATTGGGGAAAGTTGATCCCCCCCGGCAAGACTCTGGACGAGGCGGCGAAGGCGATTCTGGGGAATGGGACCCTGAGCTCGGTAAAAGAAATGGCAGCAAACAGCCAAATTGGAAGCGTCGAGGGCGAACCAAGCACAAACGACATACTAGGAGGAGGGCAGGATTAGGCAGCAGCAGCAGTAGTAGTAACAGTAGTAGTAGCAGTAGCAGCAGCAGCAGCAGCAGTAGCAGCAGCCGCACCAGTAGTAGCAGTAGCGGGGCGAGTGACAGGAACACCAACAGGGGAATTATTGGCAGCAAAGGCAATGGGCCCCCACCTCACAGTGGACACGGTCGACACACGGTAGGGCATTCCGGCTGCAGCAGTAGAGGTGAGCCTCGTCAGCAGACAAACAATGTTCGTATAGAATCTGCAATAATGGGGGAGAAGTGCTTGGGTGGTGGGAGAGAAAAGCGGGAGTCTCGAACTCGGAAACTCTCACGGCGACACTACTCGAGGCAACGCAAGGCAAACGCCAGGAGGAGATCCATCGTCTACTCAAAGGACAATTGCGGCAGCGCCCAGATAGCAGCGGACAGAATCGCTGTGATTGGCCGACAAGCTGTCACAAGCGTTGTGAAAATTGCGTGTCGTGCGGTGATCGGTGGCTGGAAAGGAATGTCTAGCGCTGCACTCAAGGCCGTTCGTAACTGGCAGGTGAGAGGGCAACAAAAAACGTGTTCGGGCTTCGTGATTGTGGGGGGCAATCGCCACGGATGATGAAGACGCATGCTTTGTCTTGCCGAATCCTTCTTTAACCTTTATACCCGAAATCTTCTTTAACTAAATATTGGCGGTCAGTCATCTTCCTAACCCTCGGTACCGTGGATCCATACCGTCGCGCCTCGAGCAGTAGTCGAACTTACTCTTGATGGCAACAGCCTTAGGTATTCTGTTGACACAACAAGTCCTTCCCATGTTCGACGGATGCTCTGTGCTCACCAAGCGTGAACTTTGTCTGCGTTAAGAAACGCGCCTTTCATTCGCCCATGGTATCGCGCGAGAGCCCACATACCACCCTTCCTTTACAATCGAGTTGACTTGTTCAATTCTCCGTCGGTTATGCTTTTCATAACTCCTTGCCAACACGTAGACGAACTACGGCGGCGGGCTACCCATAGTCGTGACACCCGGCAAGGAATCACCGAAGGCACATGGCGCGTCCCTGTGGGAAGATCCTCAGCAGAGGGGTGGAGAGGAGGGAGAAGACCATCGGGCCCCGTTTCGGGAAATCTTGCTGTCGCAGCAGAGCCACTGGCTTTCTCAAACACGAGGCCATGTCACAAGGGGGGGCGGGGCGGGGGGTAGATTTGCGAAATCAGAACAGACAAATGACCGCGGTGCAGAGCGAGCGGTGGGCCGCGGACAAGCTGTTGAGGGGTTCCCGGAGGAAGAGGGTGACATTGGCGCTTGGGTAGGAGGTCAAGGAGAGCAATCCCTGTCCGATGCCCGAGGAACAGAGGAGCAAAAAGGCGGACTCACGTCTCCTCCATCGTCATGGAAGAAGTCGTCGGTGTGATTTGCCGTTGCTATGTCGTAATGCCCTACATGTGGAAGATGGGTCACTGAATGAAGTGTTTTTATCCGCAGGTTATTTTAGTGCCTGCCAGCCGCTTTGTTGAGGTATAAGCTTCTCCAGAGCCTACACGATTTGTGCCACATAGAAACGAAAGCTTCTCCACAGATCCTATCTCTGCAGAATTCTTGCTATTTTTCCCGGCCCTAGGCTGTGACAAGAAGAGCGTGCTCGTGGTGGCTACGGCATCACTGACTTTTGCCGCATTTTGCCGAGCACTCCAGCGATTGTTGACACTTCTCTCTAGAAGTGCAATCTATTTCATTCATTCGACAGTGGATTCACACTCATCATGTTTCGTTTATCAGCCAGGCACGTTACCTCATTTTTTGTCGGACTTTGCCTGTTACTTCTGTGTGTAGGCGTCGTGCCATCACGAGAGGAGAGGACAACAGCCAATCCTCTACAGGTGTACTCCCTCGACATAACAACGAAGTCTTGACTCGTCGATCAGACGCAACATTTCGCAGCAACGGTAGTTGTGTAGTGCTGCAGCTACGCGACAAACAAGAATGCTTTGCTCAGGATACATACAACAAGTGTGGCTGCTGTGCCCAGCAGGATCGGAATCGGTCTCTACTACGGAGGGTCGCAGACGTACTTGTATACATCGATACATAGCTGCGGCGGTTGTTTGCAGAGCTCGCGTCTGTCTTACTGTGTAGTCATGAATAACATGCCAACGGCACCTGGACGTCTAAGGGTAGAAGAGCCGTCCGGAGTACATGTGTGGGGGTCGCATACCAATGATCATGATCCCCAACAGGTTTCGTCTTGGATTTTTTGGATCGCTCAGCTCCCGGAGGGGGCACCGTGAATACGCCACGGGTACTGTTGCTTTCTCCTGTTGTGGGAGCCGCCTTGGGATGGCGAGGCCCGACCGTCGCCGTGACCACTCGTTTTTGAAGCAAGTGCCAAGCTAGCAGAACAACCCAGCTGCACACGCACGGCAGTTAACACGAGGAGTGCGACCGACAGAGCGAGAGAGTCTGAAGAGAATACAGAACATGGCAGAGCCGGCACAAAACGCGGATCCTATGGAGGAGGTATGACCAGCCAAGTAGAGCAGCCAGAGCAGCAGCTGTTGTGTATCTCGCACCATTTATCAGTTCAACCCGCTGACTTGTTCACGCGAACCGTTGTTGTACATCGCGTTGGCTTGTTGTCAAGACGTAGTGGACGGAGTGCAACCTCTTATGTCCTGGCTTGCGGCCTTCGGCCTGGCTTGTGCAATCCTGCTCTGCCCCGCGCATCCATACCCAAAAAATAGCCACGAGCCTTCCCAGTCAACCTGCCCCACACAGCCGCGCATCCAAGTTGATTTTTTACCTGCAACAACAGCAGCAAGACTTGCATTCGGTGACTGTGAGCCGTGCGATGCCCACGGCAGCGCGAGCCGTGGGCCACCTTTCGCTTGGAGATCAAGTTGTGATGTTCGTCGTTTTCAGAAGCAACACGCGGAAACTTGGTCAGAAGACATGCAAAATATTGTATGCATTGTGGACGTGCATGTCGTCCTCTTTTCCAGTGACGGAGAGCGCAGGCAATGAACAGCAGCAGTCCCGACCGAGAGCGGAGTGCCAGTGTACCCGCGTTTGAGTTCGGTTGGCCGGAGGGGTCTTGATACTTTTGGTGATCCAACACACCAAAAGTGTAGGAGACAAGGTAGAAAATGATGATGGGACTCCTGCACAACCTACCCAGCAGGGGGCAGGCTAAAAGCGGATCTGATCTACAGCAAAAGCAGGCGGCTCTACAGCAGTCGAAGCCCTCTAAATCCAATCGTGATGTGCATCGACCTTTTGGCGCAGTTCGCCGTGCGCATCCCACGGACACACTTATCTTGGAAGTATCGGGAAGCAAGAGGGCCCCGTCCTGCCACGGTACTGCCATCACTCCTGGCCTCTTACCACGCTCCCCCACTTAATTATGTCAATGTTAATGTTTGATGTTGGCAAACATAAGAGCAGCTGGAAAACAGGAGTAAAAGACAACATACTTGTTGCGTACAACTTCGGAGGATAACCCATGTAGGCCACGAACCCCGGGAAGTTTCCCAGATACCCCGCCGACAAGGCTCCATCATGTAGGCACGGCATGGGCGCAATCCGCAGAACCGCCGATGCGCGCAAACCTCTGTTTCTCTTGTCTGCCCCTTTCCTCAACAGCTGCAGTTGATGTCTTGCATCAACATACGAAAAAAGTGGAACAGGGTCAACCCCGATTTCAGATGTGCACAAATACAGCAGTAGGTGCAGCCTCGTTCTCTCATTACAGCAGTATCCACGCAGGCGCCTACATGTGTACTGCTTTGTTGAGTGCCACCTTCACCCACACACGGAACAATCACGCGCTACATAGCCACACGGGTGAAGTAATATCGGCTTCTGCTGTGTCAATCACCGCGTCTCCCGTGTAACGATCAGGACGTCGAGGAGACGAAGGAAGCGGCGGAGGTGACCGACCTGTCCAACTCGGACGTCACAACCAAGTACCAAGAGGCCTCCAAGATCGCTAACCTCGCCCTCCAGGGCGTCGTGCAGCAGTGCGTGGCCAACGCGCGGGTGAACGACCTCTGCAAGTTCGGCGACACCGTCATCGAGCAGGTGCGGTACAGCAGGGAGGGAGTGCCTGGCGATATCGGGTGGGGGAGGGGGAGGGTGGTTAAAGGGGCGGAACTAGCACGGCGGGGGAAACCATACGTGCGTGTGTTTGTTGGAAGCAGTACCGACAACACCATCCGACTGATCAATGATTTGTGTGTCTTGAAAGTTGTCTAGAGCACTAGCTTTATTGACCGCTTACGGTAGGTTAGCTCCCCGATAGATTTTTGTTTGTTGTACTATAATACAGCAGTATTGTCACTTTTTCGTTTTCAGCCTGTGGACCCTGATGCGGCTGTTGTTGTCGAGTGAGTGAAAGTTTCTTGTGATCATTAGACCAGACTTGCCACACGCTGTGATGATCTTCCCTCTATGTACACATGTCACCGATACCACCATTTCCTTGGAATCGAACTAGACTCGTCGATATAAGGTGCGGTTCTATCCTGAACGGGGTCTTTAACCACGGACTCATCATGTAGCGCGTTGGGTTGCTTTTCTCCTGTAGAATACGCGTTGGCGTCTTGGTGGGTCGAAGCTGGCAGGGTTGCGGCGGCGCCCGAAACGGCGTCTCCCGCCCCATCCTGTCAGCACGGATCCATCGTTTCGACGCCTAGATTATCCGCCGGCCGCAACCCGCCCCATGTACTTTCAAAGGTCTTGGAGGGTTGCGTCGAGCCAGCAGCGGCCAGACAACCGCTCACCTATTCCACGGGTGCCGCCCAGATTTCCCACGGGTAGCGCCTACTATATCACTGGTGAACATTTTATTCAACGCTAGCGTCGTTCCCCCCATATGCTCGGGATATGCGTACGTGAACATGACAGAGTGATTTGTTCGAATAGGGCGGCCGGCTGTTGTGTCCTGGAGAGTGTACCGAGAGCAACCGCGAAAAATGAAAATCTCTGCTTGCAGCCTTTCTGTTTTTGACTTGAGCCTGACGACTATGTCACGGCGATGCTTTTGTGGAAATATCCAAGTGCTCCTACGCGCGTCCCGGGGTGTGCGCGGAGATTTCGTGTGCCTTTCCCGAATGCGCTTGACCACCATCCGTCCTTGTCGTCCTTGGGTCTCGCGACCACTGCCCTGCGCAAACAACAGCGATGCGCCCAGATCTTCCGGAGCAAGGTGAAGGGGGTGGCCACCCCCAAGGGCATCGCCTTCCCAACCTGCGTTTCCGTGAACGAGTGTGTTACCAACAACAGCCCACTCGAGTCGGAGGCATCAAAGCACGTGAGAAAAACGAAAGAGGGCGAGAGTTGGGGTTAGGGGCAGATGAGAGGGCGCTGGAGAACGAACGACAGGGGAGAGGGAAGGAGATATATAGTCGTTTGAGATGTCACGCCCGGCCCTGAAAAAGGGGGGAGACTTCTGGATAGTGTTGTCTTTTGTCCTGCCCATCTCCGCAAAACCGCGTTGTAGGCGTCGATACACACGCAAGGAATGAATAGAGGAGGGAATAATAGCACAACACAAAACCGACCGTTCGTTTGCTGTTTACCAACCATACTCTGTGCCACTCGTCTGTTTTCGGAAGGGGCAAGAACTCTGCTGCTGGAGGGTTGATTGGAGACCAATGTAGTCAACTTGCTCTCGATAAGTGCTGTGAAACGACAGAGCGGGACATCGGTCCCGTGCTTTGTGGTCGCTGGACCCACGTGTTTTCTCCGGTAGTTACGCTCAACACATGCTCAACACCCTACGACATACAACATGTATTCAGTGTTGCCCTCCTACGCCTGTTCATGTTGCTGAACGACCTTTTTGCCAAGGGTATTATGAGCATGATGACCACGTAGAACCCTGTAAGCACGGCAGTAGACGCCGCACACGAACTGGGTGGACACTCGTGGTTCTCAAGATGGCTTGCACGCAGCTCCCCTCTTCTTTTCTTTCCTCCATCCAACCTTCCCCACCCCCCAACCCCGTCCAAGCCACTTTGACTGTCCCCGATGGACATTGGGTTGCACGGTCGTGGCTAGTGGCGGGGGTGGGGGGGGGCGTGAGGGGGGGGGTCAAGAATTGGCGCGAGGGGGGCCCGCGCGGCGAGCAAGTACTGAGCGCCTGTCCGCTAGCCCAGGAGATTAAATCGGGGCATGGTGGCTCTCACGTTGCTCGTCCCCATGTCGACTCGATCGCTCCTTCGGGGGCTGAGCGAGACGCGGGTACATGTAGCGTTCGAGCTTGCCGCCAGCCCCTCCCGGCTTTTGACATTCGGGCGGCGGGTCGGGGTCGGTGAGCCCCTCTGTTTCCATGGGCCATGACACCTTCCGGCCTGCCTTAACCCGCCAAACATTTTTTTTGTGTGTTGTCTTGGCGTTGGTTGTCGTTTTTTCGTACGCTTCCTTTCCGGGGACCGCCTTGGGGTGGAGTTGATGCACGGCAAGAGGCCTGGTGTGCTCGCGTGTTCGCGTCGAAGGGGTGACGTGTTTGTTGTTGGCCTGGGAGGTTGTTTTTTAGGATATTGTTTTCAGTCACAGAAAGATTCCCCCTTCGAGATATTACCACACCTCTCTCGCACGATATCCACAAGAGTGAGGCACATTTTTTTCCCTTTGTTTTTGGAATCGTGTCTGCAAGTCCGAGGTCGACCATGCTCTAGTCTGTGCTGTTCTGTTCTAGCCACAGGCGCGTCACGTCGAACGTCGTCGGATCCAAGCACCGTCGGCCGCCGCCGCCGACTGTAATAGGAACCGACGATTACTTAAGAGTATTGTGTGTTTGTTCTTGCTTGGCCCCGTCGCTTGCGCACGTCGTCTTGTCGCGATCGGACGGCGAGCAGGAGCCTCTCAAGGCTGGGGACGTGGTCAAGATCGAGCTCGGCTGCCACGTGGACTACTACTCGGCGGTGGTGGCCCACACGGTTAAGGTGAGTTGGGGGGGGCTGGAGATGCAGCGAAAGCAAACGAGAGAGAGCGTCATCGTCCTGCCCGTTGCACTTGTTTGATCCTGCAGCAGGCCTTTTTTTGTCCTAGTTGGTGCCTCGTCATCAGAGGAGGCAGGAGCCAAACGAACGTCGTTTTTTTTTGTGGCCGCCGCATTCTGAGGGCGCCCCGGCAGGACGCCTATCGTACGACGATCACCAAACCCCGCATCCGTATGAACGTTTCCTTCTTTCCACAGAGTAGTCTTATCAGAGGTCGTATGCCAGTTCTCTCCTCCAGGCACACGTCAATCCTTACACACGGAGCAGCGAAGCTGGCGTTTGTTGTTCACTCGCTCTCGTTCTCATCTCACTCACTTGCCTCCCCCTCGCTGTCTCCGCCGTTGTCTTTCGATCATGTTTATTTTCTTTTTTTTTTGTTCCTCATGAAGGTGGGGGTGGACGTGGCAACCCCCGTCACCGGCCCCGAGGCAGACGTTATGCTTGCGGCGTACTACGCTGCGGAGGTGGCCGCTAAGACCATCAAAGCGGGGAACACCAACACTCAGGTACAAGTACGACTGGCTTTTGGGTGAGCGCTAACCAACCTCCGGTGTGCACAGCACCCACGTGTAGCGGAACTCGCATTGTGCCAGCCGGGCGCACACACAGCAGTAACAAGGTGCCTATGCATACACGCCTACTCCCCTGGCGCTTGTGCGTACGCCAATTGCTGTGTGCACGCGTACGTGCGTATGGGCGGAGCATGTTCGTTCGTTGCCGTACGCGCGTGAGTCCTCCTGCTTGCTGGGAATCGGATTGGGGCTGATGGAACATGTCGAAAGTCTCTTGAACGCTTGTTTTGATCGTGTTAGGTGGCATATCTGGATTTATGGGATGAGCCGGGCGAGGGACTCGTGTGTTGGAGCTTTTGCGCAGTGAAGACGTTCGTTTCCCTTAGGACGTGGACGAATGCTCGCATCGGGTGTGTTGAGCTGTTAACTAGCTTGTGTGTCGGTCTTCCTCGGGTGTATTAGTCGTGTGTGACCCTCTCTGTTGTGTTTTGTTTCATCTTCCTTGGTTACGTCGCTGTAGGCATGTACTCGGTAACCTTTTCAAGGTGGGAAAAAGCGTGTCGTGGTGTGTGCTGTCTTTTTCGATCTTTTGTGTAGATGTTGGCGTCTTGTTGGGTCAAAGCTGGCAGGGTTTCGCGGCGGCGCCCGAAACGGCGTCTCCCACCCCATCCTGTCAGCACGGACCCATCGTTTCGGCGCCTAGATTATCCGCCGGCCGCAACCCGCCCATGCACTGTCAAAAGTCTTGGACGGTTGCGTCGAGCCGGCAGCGGCCAGACAACCGCTCACCTATTCCACGGGTGCCGCCCAGATTTCCCACGGGTAGCGCCTACTATATCACTGGTGAACATTGGTGCGACCCCGTCCATGCTGCAGGCGTGAGACCTAGAGTCCCTTCGCGCGACCTGTCCGTCTTAAGAATGGCGACGGAAGTTGTGCGTCTTTCTCGGCATTCCTCGCAGTAATGGGTGTTCAGTTTTTTTTTGTGAGATTTTTTCCTCACGTGCCTCATCGATGCCTCTTGTACGTCTTTCGCGTTCTTTTTATTGTTTTGTTTGTCAGCGTGTCGTTTTTCTATCTCTCGCTGCCGCCGCTGTGCCGTTGAATACCCAAGACACCGCCCTGCCATTGCACATATCTAAGGGTTCTTTTACCTTTTGCTGCCGCCGCTGTACCATGGAATAGGTAACGGAAGCGACGAAGAAGGTAGCCGATGCTTACGGGGTTAAGTTCGTTTCTGGGACTCAAATGGAGCAGATCACAAGGTGGGCATGCTTGGCAGCTTGATGTGAACATATATGACCTCTCGTGCGATCTACTCCTGTGAACGCGTCGTTTGCAACAGCTCCGACCTTTTTTCTGGGAAGCGTGTCCTTGTTATTTGCGTGCATTGGGAAAAGAATGGCGCCAGCCAGCTTGTAACCATATGCGGAGTAGCAAGTGGTAGATTTATTGCCCTTGATTTTTACCAAGTTGGCGTCTTGATGGGTCGAAGCTGGCAGGATTGCGGCGGCGCCCGAAACGGCGTCTCCCGCCCACCCTGTCAGCGCGGATCCATCGTTTCGACGCCTAGATTATCCGCCGGCCGCAACCCGCCCCATGTACTGTCAAAGGTCTTGGAGGGTTGCGTCGAGCCGGCAGCGGCCAGACAACCGCTCACCTATTCCACGGGTGCCGCCCAGATTTTTCACGGGTAGCGCCTACTATATCACTGGTGAACATTCCGATTCTTTCGTGTTGCCATATGGTTGTTGCACATGGAGTCGCGTGGCTTTGTCGGGAAGACGGCAGCCTACTCTTGTGACCGTATCCCACAGCTTGCTGTTTTCTCACTATACGATGAATACGTGAGCACCGGACAAACATATTCCAGGAGAATACACCGTTGTTCCAACCGCAGGCATTGCTTACGTAGCAGAAACGTCCCTCAGCCGCGTGTTCAGTACATGAAAAGTCCGGTTGAATGTACATGGGTACAGTACTTGTGTATCCCCATACACTGCGGTGGAACCGGTACGAGCCCGCCTTGGAAGTCGTCTCGTGCCTCGTGCTTCGTGCCCAAGCACGGACGATCCTCGCGAGCTCGATCTCTCTTGTTGACGATTTTGGGTGATTTGGTCAACGCATGCTTGCTCGCTCCCTCGCTTGCGGTTTCGCTCTATGGTACCTTATTCCACATGTGCTTCTCCTGTTGCTGCTGCGGCTATTGCTGCTACTACGCGAATTTCTACTCGTGTTGTTGGCCAGGTACGGTATCGCCGGCAAGACGATCGCGCTCTGTAGCGAAGACAAGGAGAAGGAGGTTACATTCGAAGCCAACGAGGTGAACGCGGAAGGAGAACAATCTCGCTAGCAGACAGGCTATTTTCTGTTGTTGCACGCGCTTTTGCGGGCGAAAAAAAAGCACGAGGGGCGCGCCCGGATCGTAGCCAACGCCCCTCGTCTCTTTCGGGCAATTTTTTCAATCTTGACCCCTGTGATGCATCATCTTCCGGCATGTATCATGCTCCGGCCGCAGCCTGCAGACAATGTTACGTTGTCGGAGTTCTCTAGGGCTTCGCGGAGCCGGCAGTAGTCACAAGGGCTCGCCTACATATGTGCCGCCCAGCGAACACGTACCTCCCCCGCGTTTGCCCGCGATATCTGTCCTGTCCATCTCTTGAGAGAGTAATCAAGGGCTCGGGATCGCGACTTGGAATCACGTACTTCACCGGACTGATGAGACTGGTGTCATCCGCCCTTTTTTTTATTTGCGGCACACATTGATCATAGGTGCTGTTCCAGTCCCCAAGAAGAGAGTCTTTGTACCCAGGTCGTAACGAACAGGCCACACCCACGCCTTCTTCCCTTGTAGGCCGTTTCCCCTCATCGCTGTACATGTCTTGCAGCGCCTACGAACGCGCGCCAAACCGTTTCCTCTTCTACAGCGCTGTAGATGTCATTTGGTTGTTCCCATGAAACGGTGGTTTTGCTGACTTCGCCGAACCGCAAACGACATCGCGTCAGGTGTACGGCGTAAACGTGCTGGTGAGCTCGGGGGACGGGAAGGTTCGAGAACAAGACCTGCGAACGACGGTTTTCAAGCGAAACGCGGGCAAGAGCTACCAGCTCAAGATGAAGGCCTCGAGGTGCGCTCGGGACGACCGTAGTTTCGATGACGGTGGATTGTGCACCAACCCTTGTCCGGTGGATACACCCCTGTTTGTGTTGCCTGTGGCTCTTGTAGGGAGTGGACGCCAGGCGCACTTTGGAGCGGTCAGGTGGCCTTGGCACGCAGCTATCTGTTGGTGTTTATTATCGGCCCTCTCCAAAAACGCCCGTGATGTTCCTGCACGATGTTACAGACCCTGGGCAACCGTTAGGTGGTGAGTCTATCTTCGCTTCAAGTAACCGCTCGTTCGTTTTTCGCGCGCGGTGTCGTTGCATTTGCTCTCGGCAGGTATCTGTTCAACGAGGTGAACACCCGGTTCCCCAGCCTGCCTTTCAGCTTGCGCGCCTTGGAAGACGAGAAGCAGGTGAGGTTGGGTTCGAAAGCAACCGAAATACCTCCGCGTCCGCAAGAGTGCAACTGTAGATATCGGCTTTACAACGGCCTCGTTTCCCCCGTACCCAGCTATTGTGCGTGTCCCGTTGAAGGCGTCGTCCGTAATATCGAAAGCATCGGACACGGTAGGCTTCACTGCGAAGGATATAGTAAGTATTTTTATGGGGTGTACGTGTCCATGCCGCGAATCGCCTCTGCTACGATAGCTAGGGTTAGGCGTTGACATTTGTGACGCATGTTTATTGAGGTATTGCCGCTGGACTTGAGGTGTCAGGGGACCAGCACTCGTCCTACTCATCACTGTGACGGACGGGGTGCTCTTCGCCCTGTTGGTGAAAGTTTGGCGATATCCCGTCTCCCGTGCCACTGCCGCCTCGAGCATCACTCGACGATGGTGTCGTGACGCCCTGCCTCACTTCAAAAATAATAACGCACTTTGCGCCGATTCGTTCTGCAACGTTATCGCCAGGCGCGGTTGGGCGTGGTGGAGTGCGCGTCGCACGAGCTTTTGTCGTCCTACCCGGTCATGTTCGCGGCAAGGGGTTCCATTGTGGCTCATTTCCGGTGCACCGTGCTCCTGTTGCCGTCCGGCACTAGCAAGGTGAGAGTGCGACTTGACCGTACCTTGCGTTGCCGCGATACTACGGTGTTGATTTCTCACCCGCGGATTGACGGCGTCCCGCGGTTGACCCGGAAGCAAAAGCGCGGGACCACTTGAGAGAACGAAGGGGATTGTATTGAGGCTGTAACGCTGAATGCTCTTTATGGTCGACGATGGAGATAAGGGACTGCTGTGGTCGGTTCCCACGTGCACTCGCTCGTCGTTGTTCATGTCGGTTTCGTCGTTTTTCTTTTTTTGCTAAAAAATAGGTGACAGGCGTCGAGTTTGTGCCGGCGGCGTTTAGCTCGGACAAGTCTGTGGATGCAGAGACCCAGGCCATCCTGGACACGGTATCCAAAAAGAAGAACCGCAACAAGAAAAAGAAGAAGGCTGGGGCAGCAGCAGGGGAGACCAAGGCCATGGAGGAGGCGTAGGGGGCGTGGTTCGATTAGTGTTGTTGACGGTGGGGAAGTCGTATAATTGCAAGAGCAACTTCTGCTGAAATAGTGAGTATCTGGATTTGTTGAATATGTTTGGAAGACGGTGAATTGCTCTGCCCTGGATTGTGGCTGATTTCTGGCTTCTGCTTAGGTCCGGTGTTGTCAACTCAATGGGTCAGGCCGGGCTACGTGTTGCAGCTCCTGCAGGGGGGTGGTCTGCTCCCGTGTATATTGTAGTGAGCGCTGGTGAGAACCAAAAGGGTATGTGGCCGGAGAATTGTCAGATATTGCACACTTTTATTGGTCCGCTTCGGGCCTAAATACGGTCGTTTTCAGTGTTCATCTGAGCTAAATGGCTTTTCCTCGGAGAATCTGGTCAAAAGTCGGAGTTCCCCGTGTTTGGAGGCAACCAGCACGTGCCGTTAAACGCTCGCACTGCCGCGGGCCCGATAACGTCATGGTAAACGGGAGGTGGGCCGAGTCTGCCGTCTACTTGTAGACCGAGAAGATTCTTCTGGAGTCTTGTTGTCGACGGCCACCCGGAAAAACCCGGAGAAGACTTATCTCGACTCTACTGCGTCGCTGTTAGTTCTCTGATATCAACCAGGCCAGTCACCGTTTGTAGCTGTCCTCAACTAAGCCCCCATGGCCTCGTCCGGTTGTGTCGTGCGTGGGATGTATACTGTACGCCAATTGCGTCAATATGTCCGCTGAGGTCCGCATGCTGTTTTATCGCCTTCTCTCGGGAGTCAACTAATTGTCTTTTGGTGTCCTTGAAGCGGGTAGACACCATAGGCAAGAAAAAGCCAAGAGTAAGTGGAAGCCATTCGACACCTCAGGACCGGGCTTGACTGCCGCCAAAACGCGTTCCTCGGTTATTTAGTCACAAGACGTACAGCCTGATGCCGTGAACCACCGGTTGCGTGTACCGCGTGGGAACACGCCAGAAATATACGTACCGCCCACGTATCCAGTGCACGCCAACCTAACATAGCACCTGGTGTTTGCGTTATTGTAGGTTTGACAAGCGTCAACGTTCAACATCACTGACAAGGGAAATTGATGCAATCAAAAGTAAGTGCGGAAGCACTGCTGCTGCCTTTTTCTACCAAGTCGTACGGCCACCCGTGAGGTCGTACCATTGGCCAGATTGATACAAACGGCTGGAGGTCGGGCAGTCGCGATGGTCGGATGGAATTGCTGTATCGTCGAAAGCTTCTCGACGCGCCCCTGGGAAAACGCGCGACCTCGTTCTCAAGCTGCCGACAGAGCCAAGTGCTTCAGCTGCGGCACAGGGAGGGGTCGTCGTGCAAACTTTATTCCCGCGCACCGAACAACCGCCAACTGCTTTGTTTTGGAGAACACGTATCGTAGGAATAATACGTGGGTCGATTCGCTGTTGGATGTATGGGATGCGTTTAGTTTGAATTATGCTCCGAGCGCGATTTTCATTGTTGTTACAAAATAAAGTGGAAACTGCGAGTTCCTCATACGGTTCTCCAATCGCCACTCATGAATTGAATGGGGACAGCAGAGAGGCGGATTGGTTTGGACCAAAAGAATCAGCCCTGCATGCCCCCCCGCGAGACATCTGGGCCGTCGAAGTCCTTTAGCCCGCGCCCAATACTACGAGAGAGAGGAAGCGGGTAACACTGCGTTCTTGTAGCCTACTTCCTACCTTCCGGGTGTATGTATGTGTAGCACACATAACTATTTCCTTGATGCTGCTGTTGCATGAATAACATGTCTTGATCTTCCCCCTTGACAACGGTTTACAATAAAGAAGAAGCGGAGAGGGAGGGTAGACGAATCTAACGACACTACTCTTCTTTTCTGGAACCCAGACCACACGACCACATCACGAGGGAACGACTCGACATGAATGCTAACGGAACCATAACGAAAGGTGCAGAAAGTGACGATCAGAATAGATAGACGCAACGCACAGCCAGCCGTAAACAATAACGACAGCAAGAACGAGGACAAGAAGAACAACAGCACACCTCAGGTTGTTAGTATCCATCGGTATTTTCACTAAACAAACGGCAGCGAAAGTATTACGTACATACCAGGTAGTTTCCTTGCACCGCACATACATCATGCAGGCCGCGAGTGAGTGTGTACGACCTTCGGCTAAAACGTAAGCCCCCCGGCTAAGAAGTAGCGGGAGAGGACGCGACAACGGGGGGGGTGAGCACCTGGACGAGAGTCCTCCCGCACATGCGCGTGTTCTAGTTCGCACGCAGACATACCCGCACTACAGTTTTAGCTCGATCCCCGTTACGGTTGCCCTCTTCACGTGCGGTGGTTTCGGCAAAGAAAGGGACAACAACGCGATTATTTGTGGAAGCTGTGTGTTGTACTTCACCCAGAAAGCATTGTCTATACAGCCAGGGAGATTCGCGACGGCACAGATTTCCTGGGACTCAAAGCATGCTTCAACAATAACGTTCCACACAATGTCATAATTTTGATCTCGCTCGGTGTATGTCAGTACAAACTCACTCGTGATCTCTTTCGGATATTGCGGGGTGAGCATACCGTACCTAATACCCTACCCCAAGAGGTGCCGGAAAAACGTTGTCCCACATACACACGCACACCTCGTTATCCCCCACCCCAGGAAGGACATTAATCAAAGGAAATAAGACTACTCCCCAATTTTTTCTCTCTATGTTATTGACCATGGGCATGGTGTTGGGTGCACATGAAACCTATTTGACCTGTAGTTGTCCAGATGAAACACTGGCGACGAAAAACGCAAAATCGGCGCTATGAACGCGTTGTTGTTGGAGGAGAAACGACATGACAATCATCTACATCATTCACCACACCAAATTCTCGGATGAATTTCACTGAAACGAAAGCCCGGAGCGTCACGCCTTTATATGCGTGCCCGAAGAACGTCCATCCATGCTCTTTGCGTGCCTGAACCAAGAACTTCCATGCTCGACGGGAACTAACTGCGGAACGTATGTAGGAGCTCGCAATGATGCTCAGTGTTCCGTTCGCCCATCGCCTAATATACTTTCAGTCATCATACATTTATTCCCTACGTGACACTACACGCCTACCCCGAAAACCGCCGTTGGTTTCGGGGTGCACGTACTCCCTCTCGAGCGTACGTCCGGCTCCTCCTCCTCCTCCTCCTCCTCGTCCTCCTCCTCCTCCTCCTCCTCCTTCCTCCTCCTCCTCCTCCTCCTCCTCCTCCTCACCCTATTCTTCATCCTCCTCTTCGTCCCTGTCCTCCTTGTCTCCCTGGCAATGGTGGCATCGACCCGACCACCCACCGCGCCGCCGCCGCCGTCGTCGTCGTGAATTCTTGCTCCGCCGACCTCTTTCCCACTATCCCATATCCCCACCAACTCAGGCGCGGGATCCCATAGAACCTCTCTGTCACGGTGACCGCGATATTTGAGGCTGGCCCCTCTCGCTGGGGTCAGAAGGCACCCCGAACCATCTTTCCCCGGACAAAATGTTGTCCACAAGGGACCCGAGCAACTCACTGTTGGCAACGGTTTCCTCGCGCATTTTGTCCAGGAACGCCCGGGTTCCGACGGCTTTAGGTAGAGAAGAACCGCCGAGCGCCGCGTTGGCTGATGTGTGTACGGGATATCCCCCCGCCCGGGGCGCACCTCTGTGATCGCTGCTGCGGTCGGGTCTCGGGGAATGAATAGCAGCAGGTGACGGTGCTGCGTTTGGGCGGGTCTGCGAAGCCGGGGCAAACATACCGTTCTCATCGGAGTCATCGCGGGCTCGGTCGCTGCTTGCCCCTCCTTCGCCAGAAGGAGTACGCCTGTGTTGGGCGCTTGCATACAGCCAGATACATACGTACAGTTGGCGTTCAGTTTTCGTGGTACAGTAATGTTTCTCGTCGTCCTCTTTGCCGTGTGGGTCATTGCCAATCTCTATCGGGCATTGGTACGGTAGCGTCGTCGTCCCCAGGTGTCAAGATTCGAGGTGATGTCTGTCTGCCTCTGGACCTTAAATAGCATTCACTCGTGTCCTTGCGGGGATTCTGTTTTTACGTTCCTCATGTGCACGTACGGCAGAAAAGGGAAGAGCATCCCCTTTGTTCCAGTACTACTATTTCGGATAAATTGAAAACAACGTCGGCGTTTAGACCGCGGCGTCCGGTGCGGTGACATATAGCAGGACTGACTCACCGACCTGCACTTCGAACCCGCGGCCTGAGGAGCAGGCAGCTCAAAGAGCGTGCACGAAGACACGCGTATTGGTCTATCCATTTTTCTCGATAGAATACACGTACACACCGATTCTTGAAAGAATGAGAGAGGCAATCTCGTGCTATAGGCGCTGGGGAACAACACAGAAAACAATGCACCCACGGGTAGACATGCTGTTCGGTCTTTTCTTCGACATGGCATCAGACCGGGGAGGGGGACATACATACGTCAACACCCACCTCGACGACCGGTTGATCTCTTCCGCAACGCGTGACCCAGCACCAGAAGAGGACGACCCCCCCCCCCCCCCCGATGCTGCTACTCCTACTGGTGCTGGTGGTGCCGGTGGCGCTAGGTGTCGTCGTGCCGGTGTCGGTGTCGGTGCTGGTGCTGGTGCCGGTGCCGGTGCCGGTGCTGCTGCTGCTGCCGCTGCCCGCGCCCCCGTAGCGGGAGAAGACCGCCCGTCGCCCCCTTCAGCTGGTGTGCGGGGGCTGGATGGTGAGCCCCCTGATGAGCTGGGGCCACACGTTAATGCTCCAGCCGAAGCACCCCCTGCAGCTGACCTCTCCTCACGCAGGGCCCGAAGTATTGACCTAAGCTTAGCCCAGGCGTTCGCCTCGTTTCTGCGACAGGTTTATTGGTCACGCGGGTGCGGAGACCATGGCGGCGCATATGAGAGAGAGTGAAAAATGCTGTTGCTGTTGCTAAAACACAGTTAGTTGTTGCGGTTGTTATTTGCTGTTGTTGTTGTCAACATCGATTCTGTAAGGCTAGAAGGAGGCTGAGGAGATAAACACCATACTTTCCGTATTATAGCACGGGGATTTGGAGAGGGGAGGCTTTTCATGGCGGGGGGCGGTCTTGGAGGATATTGCGATACTTTGGAATCTAGTCTGTGGCCAGTATTCTGTAACTTCTCGAACCAAATGAGAATGCGGCCCTATTTCAATATGTCATGGTTTTCTTTTGGGTCAAGAGACAATCATGTGGTGGATACCGAAGCGAATGTAATTTGTATTGATCAACTTCTCTTTCCGCCTTCCTTGCACGAACTCAAAACCATTGTCACTACCACCACCACCATCATAATTAATTCACGCTCACGCATCATCGGAGTACCCGATGAGCTCCCTCGTGGCAATGTTCCTGAACTCCCAGTGGTGAACAGTTGTGTTCTGGCGGTTGTTTCCGTCGAACACGACTTTCCACTGGATGTCAGCCTCTCCAGGCGGGGCAGCCAACGCTTGTGCGGAGCTGGGGGAGGTCCTGAAGGGGAGGGAGGGGCGCCAATGCAGTTGTAGCGAAGACAAGCGGACAAACAAGATCGAAGAAGAGAGACAAGGGCCGGAACAAGCCGAATCCGTGCAAAATACGAGGGTCAGCAACTTAAATGTGTTGCTGAGCGAGGAAAAAACGAGTAGGGCGTGAGACGTGGGACGGACGCGAACGTTACCTGTCACTATACACAGCGCCGGCCAGCCTGTTTCCCTTTTTGTCTAAGGACTGCCGGCACGCTGTTGTTGTTTGCGCGTTTGC